CCTACCTTCTACCTTCATATGGACAGACATGCAGTCAGACAGTGCGTATGATATATTTTAATATAGGATAACTTTAACTTATGCAGCCTTTCGACAAATTACCAAATGTCCCGGCGTATGAAGAATTCCAGCCACGTATGAAGTACATGCAGTTTATATCCGTGGTCACATGACCTCAACAATTAACAGTGACCTTTTGGATATTGTTTTCATCAAAATTGAAGTTCGAGAAAAACCACGCCCTAATTTAATAAGCCTCTGTACGAAGACTAGACCCACACGCAAGGTCTGAACCATGCAAAAATGCGCCTGGTTTCAAGCCTAACTTTAGCCTTATAACCTAGGTCAGGGTTGTTTTTGAATAGCTAAAAGTGCAGTTCGTCGTGTTTAAAAAGACCAAAAGTATTTGAACCCATCGGCATCAGGCATTCTCTTGTTCATTTCTTTGTAAAAGCTTTTCTTTGACAATCAACCGCAGTGTCGTTTGGAAAGCTCTTTGAAAAGGCCTCAACAAAATCCTTTGGGGACACACAAATTTAATTAAGAATAGGTGCAGTGTATGCGGTGAAAAGTGGGCTCGATATGAATGTAAATTATTGTTGAGGTTTAACTATAAATTCGTCGCAAACAACAAGCTTAAAGGAACAGCATCAGCTCAAGCATACTTGTTCATGAATGGGAGTTGGAGTAGGCAGGCGCATTTGAAATCCGATGTACATTGCGTTGGTACATCATATATTATGCAAATGATGACATTTTGATATATTCATTGCGCGTGACGTCATATGCAAATGTTGAAAGTTAAATATATTTATCAGGCATTTAATCGACTGGGCTGCACCATTTTTTTCTGGTCATTCGGATTCCTGCCTGATGTAATAGCTGTACACAAATCTGTTGGTCATGTACATGCAGGTGTTTTTTTTTTTTTTTAATACTGAACGATTTCTTAAAGAGGAATCTTTTGCCGAAGATGTGGCTACAATTAATTGCTTATGGATATGCAGAGCAGCTTATGTATTTACTCCTCTGTGGCGTGGAGTTCGTGGAATGCATATGTAAACGGGAACATGTAAAACAATTATATTGAAGTCAAAAAAACAAAAAACAAAAAAAACTCCAATTAAATCAGGCCAAAGGTGCATGATGTTCACAACTTTAACCAAATTGTTGAGGCATAATACTTTGGGATTTTAAAGGGGCATAATTGTAAGTTAAGCGAAAAAAAGGCGTGTACACTCAATCCCTCTCTCTATATCCCGACCTGCAGTGAGTATAGGTTTATATTAACCTCAAAATCGGGCAATATGGCAGAAATATGGTACATAGGGAGTGGTCTGCTTGCTTGTCGTGAGTGAATATTCGTCATATTTCCCCGCATTGTGATTTGTGACCGCGTCCATACAGTGAGGGTTAATCTGTTAAAAAAATCGGTACAGTCGAATCCTGTTAAAAGGAGCACTGTTAATACAACGTCATGCTTATAAAGGTTAGGTCCCAAGTCTGTGTTTTCCTTTGTTTTCCAATACTGTTAATACAAGGTACCTGTTATAACAAGGTAATTTGTTAAGTCCCAAGGACCTTGTTATAAAGGTGTTCGACTGTACTTGGGCATTTACCAAACTTTTTTCCATAATATTTGTGCGTGTTGTGTGTGTGGATTCGAACCCCAATTGAATCATGATTTTTGTGTTCTTGGGCAAGACACTTTACTATTCTTGCCTCTCGCCCACAGGAGAATATAAATGCATGAGCACCTGTGAGGAACCGATCGTGCTGATCTCCAAATAGTACGGTAGATAGGTGATAGGATTGTGCCTTTAATGATACAAGCATGGGATCTGGCACACAGTGAGAGTATGTCATGAGAAAGATACTTGGCTATAGGGCATTCGCAGATTTGTCCTTTGAAAAAATATAGGTTGATCAAAAAGCAATGGCAGCCATTTTGAAAATTGCTTGTTGTTCTGCCTATATTTTTTTAAAGAACAAATCTGCGATGGTCCTATATAGCCAAATATCTTTCTTTAAGACATACTAGGCCAACTCTGACCGTGTGCATGATGATTTTGTATCATCAACGGCACAATTCCCCCAAATATTTCCCCTATGTACCCTACTTAAACACGTTATGATGAATCAGAGACCTGATGTAAGGTGCCTCATAAGGGCCACATACAATGTACATGTATTTACATAAGATTATTTTAGCGTGACGGATAAACAACATAATTGCTCAACATTATCAATTTTAACTTGGTCAAACTCTGCCTTTAATCCCACGCAGACACGTCATCATAGGCAATTCTTTATTATTATTTTTTTTAAATATGTTTGCCTCCGGCAAAAATTGCTGACCCGTGCAGGTCAAATGTTTGAACTAAAGCTTTGGGCCGATATGGTTATTGTTGAGATAATCTGCATGAGTAAGCCTTCATCGTGGGATGAAGTTTTTTCTCCAGACATAGGCTGTATGCATTTACGTTTCCATTGAAAGGCGTGCAGTAACACTCCCTTTTTACGACCACAGTTGACACTTGTTAGAAGTTTTGGTAAGTTTGTCCAGACTCCAAAAGGAAGTTATTCTTTTCATGTTATAATTGTTAACACGTACTGAAAACGTCCAGTTCGAGGTTTTAAAGAAGCATTATTTTAAGCCTTCCTTTAAAGGGAAGATACAACATTTGAAAACATCACAAAACAAAATGATCATATTATCACGAAATATACCTTACTTGATTGTTAAGGAATGACAGTCTAAAGCATCCTGTAAAATCGTTGCTCCTGGTGTGCTGACATTTTCAAGAAAAATGATATTTTTCCCAACGCTGGTCGACCAACCAGCGTTGGAGAAAACGGGTTTTTTTCCCCTCAAAAACTGCTCCTAATTTTTCATAATTAGTTATTCCGCATTTTCTTTGGAATTGATCACACACCTGTAAAGGGTACAAGCCTGCTAGACTGATTCTCTGACCTTACAATTCCCCAAAGTCTATAAATTGTTCCGTTTCATTTTAAGTAAAGTCAGGGAACCAGACTACAAGAACACGATTGGTTTTCTTGGTTTTCCAGCATCTACAAGCCCAAAACGTGAAACGTTTATTACAATATTTGCAATGACATACTAGTCCTCCAAATCCATTTATTTCTGAAAATTGCAGCAAAAGCAAATGTTGTACATTCCCTTTAACCCTACCCTTTCAACTCCATCAAAATTCACAACCGTCCATCATTTTGGGGGATGACATGTTCTTATTTACTCAGTGGGCAGTTAGGGTTGAAATCAAATTACATGTACAAATGTTCATGTACTGTGATAAGGAAGAGAAGTTTTGTTGGCACCACACATCGTGCATGGGGAATAATGTGCTAATTTAACCCTCCTTTGAAAACATGCATTCCGAGCCATGTTATTACTTGGGTCAATATTGGTCAAGACCCCCATTAGCACCAATGCCATGTAGCCCTATGCAAATTCACTTCCGAACCAGAAAATATCCAAATAAGGGAATGCATTCGGAATACAAACCATGACTTGTAGCTGAGCGATAAAGGTCAAATTATTGTGAACTAAAGCCTTTGATCTTTTCAAAAGCTTTACGCACGGCATCAACAAAATACTCAACCACGCTTGACACACACACACACAGCATTCAGTAGCAAGAATCAAAGAAAAAGTTCAAACTCAATCACAAATTCCATGGGAAAATTGAATAGAGGAACCTTTAGTTATTCAAATGTTTCACGCATCGCGAACCGAGTGGAATGTTTGGTGAGTTTACCTGGAACCACTGCATTGCGGATACCTGTGGTTTTGGTCGAAAACTAGGCTTAAATTCACCAAAATTTTCTGATGAAGAAGTAGGAGCCGGTTTTTCATATGAAACCGGAACTGTCTTTCCGATCATTATAAACAGAGTTAGGTCCTTGCTTTGCAGAAACTATTTGTTTTTTTTTCTCAAAATTTTTTCCCCTTCAGTATGTGGCGTTTGTAATTCTCTCAAAATGGCTCTTATGTAGGGTTGCTAGACTGGTTCCCGATTCTTGCGTTACTTAAAGTAGTACATTGTTGCTTGGACGCAAATGACTGTAAAGTAATCATCCTATAGGCCTATCACGAGCTGATTATTCTCATGGGATGTCGCATTTCATAATGAATAACTTTAACATGCTATAAAAATAGTACAGCAATTCGGTAAAAGAAAACACAATTGTTAAGGTTTACATACAAATGGCACAAACTGAGCATCTTTAAAGTATTTACTTTAAAATGAATCTAACAAGAAGCGATTGAAATTAGTAATTGGCGGAGATCCTTTATTGTCTCTTGAAGCCACAGACGTTGACGTACAAGGTACATGTATATAGACGCCCTTAATCTGTCGTCGCACGTAGAAAAATACGCTTATTTATTCTGGGCAATAAACAAATTGGAACTCTTCACAAATAAACGTCGCAATTTATACATCTAGGAATATTTTGACTGCGGGAAGGTTCCGAGAGAGTTGTTTAGAATCCTGCAACTTAAGTACTAGGTACAATATCGTCAACGACACCACGAAGTAACACCCACTGCAGTGTTACTTCGTGAAAACCGCTACATGACACATTTTGGGTGTCACGAAGTAACACACAAGACTTGTGCACGCGCACATCGGACACTAGCGCGAACTATTTTCGGTTTTCACAAAGTTACAACCCTGTTACGGAAATACAATTTGGATAAAAACGTTTTAAGACGTTTGACAGGAACGTAATTAATCCGTATTCTTGTGGGATTACAGAAAAATTGAATAAAAGCCTTTAAACTGGTGACATAAAGATAAGTGTTTCTTCGTGAAAAACGTTAATATACCGAGTGGGCGCACAGTGTACAAAGTACTTGGGTGTTACTTCGTGAAAACGAAAATCGCTCGGTTCTGTAAAATACGCGTGCGTAGTGCACGCGGTTAAACGCGTCCTCGTGCTTAATAATGAATTTGATTCGTTTCGCATTTCAGTTAGACGGTGAAGAGCACACGTGGAAAGAGGCACCATGCAACTCTCAACGAAGAAATGTCTCCTGACTTATACAGGCGCCATCATGTTCGCATTCGGCTTTGGTATCATGCTGGAGGGTATTTCCTACAAAGCACTACCAAGTAATGACCTTAACTTGAACGCGGTGGTTAGAGCTGTACCTCACTGGTGTGGAATGCTGGTAAGAATACGATTATAACCTAAGGGGCTCATGCAATGTATTTTCTTAAAAGCAATCCTTGAACATGCATCTTTGCGTCCCATTTAACCTTATTTTCAATTTCCGTTTTGACATTTGCAAGGGTATTTTGAAGCCTTGTTGGTTTTTATGCTAATGAGAATGTCCATATTCATGAGCAAAACTGAACAGTGTCTTGAATTCTTGCTACATGTCCTGCTCACCTCCCTTTTTGTCTCTTGACCGCCATCGACCATCTTCAATAGGCCTGAGACCTAATGACGTCACGTGTTGTTTACATGTGCGCTTTCCTATGTGGTACACGGTCCGTACTTTATCTGGCGCCCCGACTTCGCTCCCATAAGAAAGCGCATATGTAAACAAAGCCATTAGGTCCCAGGTCTATTGGAAGCAAAATACTTGTCCCTGAAATGATGACGTAATTGAATGAGGGAAAAAGAGACATTTCAAGCAAAATACATTGAACATGTTTAGATGACCAATCCGAAATCATGGATAAAAAGGCGATTTTGGTTTTTGAAATTCCAATAATAGGCTATTTGTCTTATAAGATGGAATTTTATTATAACATGGAATTTTTGCGCCGGGGTGATACAAATCAAATTAGGTTTTGCCCTTCACCGACGTTTAATTGTCTTGATTTACACGTAACTGTTTTCCAAGATTTTCAACATGTAGTTTAATGGTATATGAGCCTGATATTTTTTATATTTTTATTTTCATGCAGCTCTTGCTACTTGGTGCCAGGAACTTCACATTTGGTCTTGCACAGTGGAAATATGGCATGAACTGCTGTGGGGTAAGACATTCGAGTTTTAATTTAATGCAGTTCAATCCAAGTCTGATTCGCAGTTATAGGATTATTTTCTGATGTACTGGGTGTATAAAAAAAGATAATCCAAAAAGAATGGGTTAATATGTATTAAACCATTGCTATGACGTCACACTATTGTTAAAAGTGTGGATTCGGAACTACGAATCTGTTACGCTGGTCACAAAGTGTGGATTCGGAACGAAGAATCTTTAGTGAAGTGTGGATTGGGAATTACGAATCCACACTTTGAACACGTCAGACAATTGTTCTCTATAATGATCATTAATAGGACCGTCTGCGTGAAAATTTCCTTCCGCAATTACCAATGCATCTTCCCTGTCAGATTCTCTGCCGTCACTGCAAAACCTACTTCGAGTCAGAAAGAAATCATCGTCTGAACTATCAATTTGTCAACGGAAGGAGCCGGGACAAATGTTGCAACCTGACGCAACTTTTTTTCTCCATATATAATCTCAATGAAGGGCATTCATTGAAAAAATGATGATAAGACATGAATCTGGGACTGAGAAATATTTCCAATTTTGTTAGGAAATACTTTAAAAAAATTATTGACTCTCCATAGACTTTGTACACAATCGCGGAAGTGGCGTCAGGTTGCAACATTTATCCCAAGTCTTTTCATCTCCACTCACTGTTAATGCCAATACTTCTTTTGACGCAATGGTTTAAGTCGAAGAATACACTCGCAAGTGTGGATTCTTAATTTACGAATTCACTCGCAAGTGTGGATTCTTAATTTACGATTTGACAAACTGTTAAAGTGGCTCGTTTTGAAATCAGTGGTACTCAGTCATAGGTGACTGTGGAGAGGCAAATAAGGTATCAATGGAAAGCTGATGAGCTATAATTTGACAGATTTCATTTAAGTTCATAACCTTTACACGATAACCCTTTTCTTAGATCCAGTACAACGTATAGGAAACTGTAAATCATTTAGGAAGCCTGTACAATTAGACCCGTGGTTATGTTGTGATCAATTGTCTTGACCACGAAAGCTTGGTTTACTTTTATGAAGTCCTTTGCATGTACCAAGTCTCAACTTTGATCTGTGACATTTTCTGGTGCCATACGATTAATGTGCACGAATTTCCACATTTGGAAATCAGGTTACAATATGTGATGCGATCAAGCTAAACGAGTCCTTTGTCGGGAACTTTCATTTGGAGATTCAGGCCAAAATAGAGCCAGTTTGTCACATCACTTATCACATCTCTTGGTGTTCCGACTTCCATAAGTTTTGAACTAAAGATGGTATCAGCATGCGGTTTTCACAGCAGTAATGCCGAGATTGGGCTCTTTTCAAGTCTGTAAAAAAATAAATAAAAATTGACCAGGGTCGACAAGCGTCCCATTTAGCTTGATCGCATCACATATTAAGAGGTTGTATTTATAAAAACAATAAACTATGTTTATCCATCGGCCAACTCGAGTTCTTCTGAATCTACTGGGAGATTTGGATGATTTTGTACGGTTTTGAAGGATGCTGAATGTTGGCAAGTATTCAAAACATACATCAATCGCAAGTCAAAAATGGCCCCTCAACCCCCCCCCCCCAAAAAAAAAAACCACGGCGTCTGAATTTGCTATTTCTCATGTCGCAACTCATGATTGACGTCTCTGCTCAGGGTTAGTGGTAGGCATGAGCAACTAGTCTTGAATAGTCGCAAGTTGTTGCAATTAAAGTGGCAACTAGTCGACTAGTTGCACAAGTCATACGCGCCTAGTCAATGGGTGTTTTTAAATCTTGTTTCTTTTTTTTAGCAGAGCGGTGCCTGTGAGGTTGTCTTCGTCAATCTGTTGGCTCTTGTCGTCTCTGGGTGTGCCATTGGTATGACAATCTGGGGCTCGTTTGAGAATCTCAAGAGTTCTACGGCAGAAACCATTGCTCAAAAACCCGACTTCATATACCTGATCGGCATCTGGTTCATGAGCATGATATGCGCCATACTTGCCTTGCTGTCCATGTTCGCTGGCTGCCTGCCGATTGGCTCGCCGTCAGAAGAGGAGGTAGGAACCAATTTAAATTCAGGGAACCAGTGATTTTTTAATCCTTTGGTTGGTCCCAGAAGTGCCTGTCTTACTCACCCACACACTGACTGTCACTCTTACTCTACAGTGAAACAGCCTGGCAGTGTTATGGTATAGGTTCACCCATAACACCGATAAAGGGGCTAAATCTGTGGCGCATTCAATAGTGCAATACTTAAAGGGAATATACAACATTTGCAAACATCAAACAACAAAACCACCAAATTATTATGAAATACCTTACTGGACTCTTAGTGAATGACAGTCTTCAGCATCCTGTAAAATCATGGCACCTGGTGTGCTGACATTTTCAAGAAAAGTGGTATTTTTGTATCAATTTCCAACGTTGGTCGGCCGACCAGCGTTGGGGGAAAAACTGGCTTTTTTTCAAATACATGTGCTGCCCCCCAATTTACCATATTTAGTTAGTCCGCATTTTGTTTGCAATCCATTACGCACAGCCAGACTGGTTCCCTGACCTTACAATTTCACAACGTCTATAAAGTGCTCCGTATCATCTTCAGTGGGGTCAGGGAACCAGACTACAGGAATGTGATTGTTTGTCTTGGGTTTTTTTCCAGCATTTATGAACACCAATCTTCAAACAAGTCAGTGTAACACTTGCCATAAAATACTAAACCCCCCCCCCCCAAAAAAAATCCATCCATTTCTGAAAATTACAGCAAAAGCAAATCTTGTGTATTCCCTTTAATGGTTGAAATTGGGTTTGTCATGTAGAGGATGAACACAAAAACGAACAGCCACATTAAATCAGTATACAAGCTATGTATGTCACCTTGCAAAAAGATGAATGCCCATTGTCGAAATGGACACATTTCGACAATGGGCATTCAGCTTTCAAGTTTGCACTGCTTATGAAATGAATACAAACGATTTTGTAATCAGAAATTAAAGGATATATTCAGGGATTCAAATGGCATGTATATGCTAGGTCAATGTTTCATGAGACAAATGATAAAACAAAAACGTACTTATGTAATATCTTCACAGCATTTACTTTCAAATGTGTTCCTCATCATAGTGGATTAATTTTGTTCCATACATTTCTGGATTCTCTTTCCTGCTTCGCCTCCAAGCCAAATATTGGTGGACAGATATATGGTTGGTCGGACCCATAAAATGGGTTTTATTTGTGTGGGCGTGTGTTGTGTATGGACTATTATGCGGTAATTATATAACTCACTACGCATTTTCTGATTCACATGGAAATGAACAATTATTTCAGAAAATTGTTAGTGTACACGAGATCAAACTAGGGCCAAAAGGTGACTGGCAAACATTCTCAGCCAACATTCAAGTACACATTTTAAACAAGGCGACACGTTCGTAAACATCAATTAAAAAAATTAAAACACATTTAGTGTATACGGTACCCTGTGGAGACATGTGCATAATAGGGCACAAAAGATTGTATACTGTACATCTCCACAGGGCAATGTCTATAGATGAATACGTCTCCACAAGGTTATCACGAAATAGCTATATGTATTTCACTCAAAAACTAGGAATTTCCAAGGTGGGTTGATCTGTCGCAAATTGAAGTATTTTATGAATTTCAGCCCAGGAAATTAATTCTAGACAAAAATAGGAGCATTTTGAAACTACACTTATAAATTCGAAAACTTTAGTACACGATAACAAAGAAATGACTCCACAAGGATACAAATTCCATTACCGAGTATAGACTTTTTCGATAGATTTTTCTGCTTTTATGCAAAGCATTCCTTAATTTTCAACAATACTAAAGCCCTAACCCTCTAGTAGGCCATTTTGCTAGGATGTAGCCTCAATCCTGCAAAATCCTAAAATTGGCCTCGTGGAAAAAAACAAAAACATATAGCCTCAATCCTGCAAATTCCTCCATTATTTCTTGAATATGGTCCGTGGAGGAGTGACCACTGCCTGAATCCTGCAAAATCCTGCAGCAGTGACGGTCAATATGTTGAGGCTCGGCCAGTGACATCCTGAAACAGTACGGAGTATTTCAAGCATAATCCAGGCCTATATTTATGCATGGCTGAGCAAAAAACAAGACAAGGTCCAGCCCAAGACCTTGACAAAGTGTATCCTACAAAATCAGTAACGCACTTTTGCCATGTAACCTCAATCCTCCAAACTCCTCCACTTTGGCAAAGAGGATTTTGAAGGATTCAGGGCGGTTAGGGTTTGCAGCCTATCGACAAAATGGCCAACACCTTATCTTCAAATTCCATGCCACGCATAAAATTAATATTCGTTGCAATTTGCACTGAATGTCACATAACATCAGCCTTCAATTTTTGTTGGTTGCTCTTTCTAATGGGGCGAAGCAAAAATGTTTCAATCTTCTATGCACTTCTTTACCTCTTGGTGGTGTGTGTTTATTTTTAAACATTCATTTGCGGTTGAATTTTCCTTCACTTACACGCACACCGTTTGAATATAACCACTTCTTTCATCATCAGTTTCCATTGCATTTATTTGATCAACATCTTCACCTCATTAACCCATTTCTGTTTGGGACATAGATATTTTCGTAATGTGTGGGAAGATAGCCCAACTTGCCACATGTATCTCAAACAATCAATCAATCAGTCTACGGATGCACTTGTTTCACTGTGTGCGCAGTTTTCAGAATGTACAGGGCGAGTCAAAAAATCGGAACCCAAACCTCAAAAAATATATTTCATATTTAAAAAAAATGTAGCACCCAAAAATATTGACTGGAAAGCCAATTTCATAAACTACTTATTGGCCTAGGTGAAAAAAATACTCAAACTGCTCAATCCGTTTAAAGTACATGACATTTTAAACACAATGACCCTAAAACCTCTTTCATTTAAATGGTGATATTCTTTGAACGGATTGAGCAATTTCAGTATTTTTTTTACATCTAAAAGTAGTTTCTGAAATTGGTTTTCCAGTCATTATTGTTTTGCTCTCAGATTATTTTCCCAGGTTGATCTAGGGTGCTCAACTTCCTTATCACTGCTTTTTTGGGGGTCTGACACATCTTTGATGATAGTTTTTGCATCCTTTTGTCTAGACCAGGACAATCTTTCTTTTTTTAATATTTTTTTTTAGTTATTGTCCGAAGATATAAAATATATTTTGGGGGCTTTTGGTTCCGCTTTTTTTTTAACTCACTCTGTAGCTCCGCGATTTTGATCATGATGTTTCATGTGGAAATTGGAGATTATCTTTTAATGTCACTCTATTCCTATTGCTCTTACATTGTTTATGTGAATTGAGCAAGCAAAAGCTCAGGCTGAATTTGACAAAGAATGCCCGACGTCGTAATCGACTTCCTTGACAGAAAGACGGGAAGACAGTGAATTTGTATACACAAAATTCCTGGCAATTTTTTACATTATTAATTAGTTATCGCTGTTGCTACATATATCAATTAATTATACGGGCTTCCCCAAGTACATGCTCCTTTCTGCTACGCGTATATGTGATGTTATAACTTCCCTTTATTAGGCTTGACCTCAAGGGTTTTGTTTCATGCAATTTTACGTTCACACCGTAGACTGTAACAGGCCTGCTGCGCTTATACTTGATACGCAGATGTGTAAATATGCAAATAAAATGAACCCTGTTAGCCAATGAATTAAAAGCGCCATGAATATGCAAATCTGACGCTCTGATTGTCATTTATGCAGGACGTGATTGAAATGCAACAGTACGGCCATGATAACCCCCAGTTCAGCAAGTACTAGAGGTGAGAGGTTAAAGGTCGTAGTGTCACCTTAACCCAACCCAATCCTACCGCCTCATGAATATGCATAATCCTTAGTCACTAGAACAGCTTGCACGTGCAACATAGGCAGCTTACTCAGCAGATGTCTATACTATACAACAAATTGCTAACCAAACAGTGTTCGGGGAGTTCTTCAAATATTTCGATTATAACTTGCATTTCAAAATTTTAAATAACTCTGGGGTGAAATAGAACAAGAATTGACCAAGATCTTTAATATGACCATTCTAACTGATCTGTCTAACTCCCACATGCCTTGATTCTGCGCTTATCGTGATGCTCTGTTTACTAACAACTGTTAAATTCTAACAAATGGCTTCAAAGGATTTCTTTCTGAAAGTAACACTCTATTGACATAGCCTAATCCCTCCTTTTCGCAAACTATAATTTTCCAAAAGTAGTTTTCAATCCATGCCTCAATACAAACATCTTGAATCTACTGGCAACATATTCCCCAGTATAAAACCAAACTGAAAGCTATTATATGGATCATTAGCTTATTTAAATGATTGGGTTATAATCGTTTTAGTTTTATTTACCGAACTCTCTGGGAATTTTTGCAATGTATACCCTTTAACTTACATGTATACCACTGTCCTGAAACCAGACTTTGCACTTTATAATGTTAACATCGAAGGGCAACATGACCTATTTTTAGTAAAATTGATTTTTCTGTGGCTTCTTAATCCTTCAAAGTCGTCAAGTGATAATAAATTTCGGCATATCTTTGGAGGTAGAAGCTTAATAAGCCTATGTACCGATGACGTCACACTGTGTTTACTTGTGCGCTTTCCTAGCTATGGGGCTTCGAAATCGTCGTCAACGCCAGGCTCCCATTAGAAAGGACGCATGTAAACAAAGCGTGACGTCATCAGTACAGAGACTTATTGTTTTACTACAGGACGTTTCCTTCCACCGTTTTGTGTATTTAGCAATTATACCTCTTTCAGGAGGGTCTTAGTTGAAGTGATATTGTGCTTTGTTTGTTTCTGCAATCTTTGGAAAGAATGTAGTATCCAGACGCCACTTCTCTGGTTAGGTACAAAGTATATGAGAGTCGAGTGCAAGTATTTTCTAACAAAATTGGAAATGTTTCTCAGTCATTGATTCATGTCTTTTCAACACATTTGGAATGGCTGACCTTCAGTAAGATAATTATATGATAGAAAAAATGGCGACAGGATGCAACATTCTTTCCCAGTTGTAAGTCAAATTGTCCTTGATTCTAAATGTGGTGTTTTCTCTCTCTTTTTCCATTCCTTTCAGGGTGACGAGGGGTACTAAGCCATCGTAGCTTGGCACCCTACAGTTGTTAAGAATTCAAAGGGTTCGCACTGCGTCGTGACACCATTACATTTATGCACATTTCCACAGATTTTTCCTTTTTTAATTGCACTGGTTTGAAGACGTTTTAAAATGATTTTTACTGCTCTGGCATGTGGTGCTTTGAAGGGGTTGACAACCCCACAACGAATACATCGGCTTACTTTCTGAAAACTTCTAAAGTGATACTTGGTTGAGATAGAGAACACTTTTAAACGACACTTATTGAAAACAAACACTTTTGTCTAAAACTTCAGAACCATTAAAAAAAATTCAATCAACGATGAAATTGATATTATGTTAAGTACATGTATATCATTTTCATAGTTGATTATGTGTATTCAGATTTAAATGTTAGGAATATCATGGTACTCTGTATATATCGATTAAAAATGCATTGAAGATTTCTGTTTTGAAACTTTTGTTGTTAATCTTCCGTAGTACAGTATACGATAGTTGACTTTTTAAATTTCTGTTCGCGTGAACAAACTTCGTTTATGAGGGGAACCTTCTACTTTGTACAGTGAACAGTTTTAAGTACTTGGTGTTTTTGTCAATCTGTACTTTTTTCTTTAAGTATTTTTAGCATTTACATTTATTGAGTTCGATTTTTATGTTTACGGTTTATACTCCTAACTATTGTTTTGTTTTAATTGTATATCGGGTATTTATATAGTCTTGATTATAACCACGAGATAGCATTTCAAAATTGTTACTTCGAAATTCTTTGTTTTAAAACTCAAAGCCAGACTAGTGTGTTAAATACAATGTGTGTTACTTTTATACATGGTCCACACGAAATCTTGTTGCAAGTTGCAGTCACGTCAATCAAGGGTATACTCAGTCAAGTCACAGGTGCTGAACAATGGCGAAGGCATGTTATCGTCCAAAGTTGAATAGCTTATCACTCGACCAGGCATTGAATTACTTGTGATTAACTAATTCGGCCAAGGCTTTTCATATTGCCCTACATAATCGTCACATTATACATGTACACATGTAACAGTTTACGATTCGCGAAAGGAATTGAGGGCACACTGGAATTGAACAACAGTAATATTGATGGCGAGTTATCTTTAAACGTTTGCAAAGAATAGAGTACATGTGCTTAATTTTGTTATAAAGTGGCCTCGGAGTGTAAACATGTCAAAATTGCTCCAATAAATGTATTTCTCCAACGGGATTTTCCGTCTTCCAAAATGCAACCTGGCTTTGAGTTTTGAGAACGCTTAGTTTAGTCTTGAGAAATAATTTACCTCTGTTAATGAATGGCGATTGTCAAGAAGTGTGTTTACAACAATTCGCCAAAACAAAACCCAAAAACAATCGCGAAGCGTTCGAACAAAAATACGTGTACGTGTACATCTGTTCTTACCGATTGCGCAGGATCTTCATAATTTCATATTACGTCATTCCTAATGACGTCATTGGTGACGCACCGTCGCAGTATTTATTGTTTATTGGTGACATTTTGTGGGTTTGGATTTAGTTAGTCCAGTTATATTTAGCTTGGAAACTTTTTGCCAACGTAAACTATACATGTACATTTTTTTAATGCAAATAATTGCATAACTTTCTGTACATGGTTTTTATTGGATAAAACATTACAGACTGTTTACCCTTTACATGTTATAATTTGTTTCCTCTTAAGCAACAAATTCCGTATTTTTTTTTAACATTAATGTGTGTTTTCATAGTGGTAAGCTGTTTTACAGTACTGTTAATTTGCAGTTAAAATGCCATTATTTCGTCATTTAAAGGCTGATTAGGAATAAACGAGAAAAATATGTTATTCGCATTATTTCAGGAATGAGAAATTTCACATTTTATCAAATGAATTCAAATTCATCAACTTGTATATATAGTGAACGTCCAAATTGGAAAGAATGTTGCATCCTGACTCCACTGTTTTCATGTATTATCTCAATGAAGGTTAGTCATTGCAAACATGTTCAAAAACATAAACAGACTGAGAAACATTTCCAATTTTGGAAAATACTCTAAAAATGCACTCGACTTCCCTTAGACTTTGGAAAAAAACCCACAGAAATGGCGTCAGGATACTACATATACAATGTACATTCTTTCCAAATAAGTTACTGTGGGTGCATGTTATGAAAAGGCACATCTCAGTACTACATGTGTACTAAAGACGATGAGGCAATTTAGAGGAATTTTAAATTGGCAGTGTAGCAGATAGCCTTAGTGCTGTCTTTTGTTGAGATAATTAAACAGAAAACGTCATCAATTCATACAATGGCTTAGCACAAAGAGCCTCAATTTTAGTGCTCATTTGAAATTCTTCTAATTAAGGGTAGCCTGTGCTGCTTAAACCATTATCTGCTTACTAGAAATCGGTTACCAACCAAGAGTGGCCTAAAGTTCACTGCAGGCTGTGATTGGTTCTCCGCAATGTATGTTTTAATAAGCAGGACATTTGCCTCGCTATATGGGAGTTCGGTGTGGCATGTAACGCTCGAATTTTGTCCTAGACGACCATTGCATGAAGATGAACGAAATGTTGATGGTTAGATTATAACATGTACACACATTGGTAACTTCTGACAAGTATTAATTTTAATGTTGAAATATACACAATATTGATAGAAATTGGAAAACGAATAAAAGGTGTAAATCATTTTACCGTACTTTACAAGACAAATATTCAGAGTATGTGTGCATGTGTGTATTCGTGCTACAGGAATATAAAACATCGAAGTGAAGTGCTCTCACTGGATAGCGAAGTAATGAGCCTAATTGTACCGATACAGTCGACTATCGTTATTACGCGGTTCTCCGGACTTAGTTAATTTGCTCGTCTTATCCGGAAGCTCGTCTTATGTGGAAAGCTATTTTCCCCACAAAAGGGCCAGTGATGAATAAAACTGATCGAAAGTTGGGTCATTTTTTGGAAAGAATGTAGTTTCTAGACAGCGGTTGTGTACACAGTCTATGGAGAGTCAAGAAAATTTTATGAGTATTTCCTAACAGTTCTCAGTCGCAGATTCATGTCTTTTCAACATTTTTGCAATGACTGACCATCGTTGATATGATATATGAAGAAAAAAGTGGCGTCAGGTTGCAACATTCTTGCCATTTTTTCCCATTGTAACTCTTCCATCACGCAACTTGGAATCTTTTGAATTTCGTAAACTTTAATGGTCCTTTGTTTAGTCACAAAATTACTTAACTCGCAGTATAGCGGAATCCCCTAACGTGGCGCACTTCGACGAAAAAAAATTCAAAGTGCGCTTCGTTAGGGGCCGCGCAATGATAGGGGACATCAACCATATCATAGCATAAGCAGAGTCGGAAATCAAATTACGGTGCGGCGCGGCATTACTTCATGGTCCACCGAACCGATGAAGACATACACTCAACCAAAAAACAGTCACCCCTTAAAACTTTTTGTCTAACTCAAAAACTACTGGGCACATCTTGATCAAATTACGACTGATCAGTACAGAAATTCCTTAGCAATCCAGCCATACTCTTTGTTTGGCCCAAAACAGCGATACTGTGTACAAGATTATGCAATTGATGAAAAAAATGGTACCGAAGAAAAGGAGCAGTTTTGTATACGTGCATGGCGAGTGTGAACCACAACCTGCACGTATACAAAAGTGCAACTGTTTTCGGCATCATTTGTCATTAATTGCATAAATTCGTACACATTACATGTATCACTGCTTTAGGGCAAATAAAGAGTATGGCTGGATTGCTAAGGAATTTCTGTACTGATTGGTCGTTGAGTGAGAGGTGCTCAGCAGTTGTGAGTTAGACAAAACATATTGGAAAGGGGACTTTCTTTTACGCCTGAATAACTCCCCATCATCTGATTGTTGGATCGGTGATTACATGTCATTGAACTATCGTCCAACCCACAGCCCGGCCACACGGGCAAAAAGAGAAGTCCTATTCTACGTTAAATAGAAGTTCCATTGCTTGGTCACACGATCGGTGGCTCTGACCAATCAGATGACGGGGATTTATTCTGGTGTTGTATGACACAAATAATGTACGTTTCACTTTCGTGCAATGGAAAGAATAATCTCCTTCCTCTCGGCTTCGTCTCGTGCTTTTGTCATCTCATGGAATTATTCTTACCATTGTACTCATAAACTTTCATTGGTGTATTCCATCCAGCACTCCTTTCAAGAAAATGGGAGCTAGATGAGCCAAGGAAAAAAAATCCCGGATATTCGCGCCCGCCTACAACCCCAGTGTGCCAACAATTCCTCTATTCTCGCAATAATTATGTCGTGTGATTGTGGTTCAACTTCCACCGTCTATCTATTTTTAGTACACTATCGATGACTTCCGTTCGGGACTCGTTCCTGTGGCTGACACGCGCACGTGACTATACAGTCAACTCTCGGTCATACAAACTCGGCCGGAATTAGCCAAAATGTTTGTTATACCACAATCCCAGTCCCATTCATTATGCACAGTCAGGACCAAGGCTTTACGTTTGCATTAACCAAAATTTCTATTAACAGTGTTTGTATTAATTATGTACTTGCAATAGATTTGGGGGAAATTTGCCAACTTTCCTGTGCATTGTCCTAAAGCATTCGATTCTCTCCATCTTAGAGGGGCAATTGTTCTGAAATCACCGACATTCATGTTTATGATTGTTTTCTTATATTACAAAGGTCTGATTGAAAGTAAATAATAACCTATAGTTGCTCTGTTCTTGAGAAAAGACGAAAATGCTCCCGGCAGTTTACGCCTGGTGCGGCGGACCGATTTTGTAGCATGCGGTTTTTTTTTCAGCCGTGTTTAGTCCCTTTCTTTGGCTGCCCCAAGCTTCTGCCAGACGATACAACGTACGGAACACATGTTCACGCTAGTTGATTGTACATGTATTACAATTGTATTTATTCCTTGATGGAACCGCGAAAACCATGCAGGGCTCTGACATTTCGGGGTGAAAGGCGCGAGGAGTAAGCAAGGTGGTTACGACGGTCACGAAATAAAATGGTACGGCAGATAGATGATAAGATTGTGCTTTTGATGTTACAAGCATGGCATTTGGCACACAGTCAGAGTATGTCATGAGAAAGATATTTGGCTATAGGGCCATCGCAGATTTGTCTTTTAAACAATATAAGTAGAACAACAAGCAATGGCAGCCATAGTTGAAATTTTTTTAAATTCCTTTTATTCTACCTCTATTTTTTCAAAGGACAAATCTGCGATGTCCCTGTAGCCAAATATCTTTCTCATGACACACTCTGACTGTGTGCCAAATGCCATGCTTGTATCATCAAAGGCACAATTTCACCCAAATATCTCCTCTATCGGCCCCATTAAACGATTACTAGCAAAAACTATTATTGAAAAAATAAATGTGGATTAATCTTGCAAGCCACCTTTGGAGCTGAAGAAGTTGTTATTAATTTCGATTTGCGGCCATTAAAAAAAGGACATTTTCCAAACTGTTTCTCAGACTTGCCAGTACTGATTACATTTATTTAATACATTTCCTTACCCAGGGAGATTATAGGTCCCACTGGGCTCAATTAATTGGGCCCTGCAATACATTACAAATTGTAAACTATTAAGCAAAGTACAAAATTACTAGGAAAGATTGCATTGGTGCAACAGACCAAAAACATTATTATTACAAATACAAGAACTTTGGAATTACACAAACGAAGTTATTTTATAAACATTTTCGTGGGATTTTCTCCAATCCATTCATCAGCAATTTATGTTTTATACTTTAATGTTTTTGCCCATTGTAAGCATTTGGGTTTTTTTAATGGGCTTCGCCGTTCGTCGGTTGTTTTGTTTTTATACGCACCGTACAGCGTAAGTAAACAAAAACCTGCAACCCAAATGGCAGGACCAATTTTTGAATGAAGTATTGAACGTAGCATTTTCAAAATCCAGGATATGAAAGCTCATTAGGCTTTCCTTTAGTACAAGAATCATTCAATCACTCGTACTTTTTAAGTTACGGAATTTTGAACACGAACACATTTTTAAGAGTGGTGTCACGAGTAGTGAGGGCCTATTTTAATTAAATTGGGCATGAACCTCTTACACAAGTTGGCCTTTTTTTGTCGTGTGTCCTGAATGTATTTCAGAAATTGTGAACTGTTGAATTGGATGTATGGTGCCAGACTACTTATTCATTATAGCCTCACTTTAATTTTTTTTAAATGTGGCTTAAAACATTATAGTATGTTAATTCGACGAAGCCGTCAATGGGAGCGCTCAATTCTGCGTGCGTCAGTTCTGCATGACATCGCGTGTAGCTGCAATCGACTGAATGAGAACGTGTCCTAGATGCTGATTTCGGGCGCAATTCAAAACATGATTCAGCAACTCTTAAATTGAATTCGAGACACACAATGATGTTTTCTCGGAATATACAGCATTGATAGCACTATACTTCATCCGATTAAACTTCATCCGATTATTTGTTAGGTACCTTTCTTTAGATTTGAAGCACCTTTTTTGGCTTTAAACGATAAAAAAAATGCACAATCGACAAATGAAATACTCAACTTTTAAGGGCGCTTTGGTTTTCTCTTTTTGTAATTCACGTATTTTGGATCCTCGAGATGTATGGGTTTGGATTCGGAATTGGGAGACAGGTCTACTTGGGCATAATCCTGCTCGCTGTCTTTGGTTGCATCGCTCGCTTGGAGAACTTCAGACTTTTTGTTGATGGCCTGAAGGCTCAAGGCTGGGGTCGTCAGTGAGGTGTACGTGCCCTTCTCGTCAACTTTGTCCAATCCCTGGTAGTGGTCATCTTGGCTTATCGTGAGAGCCGAGCCACCACGACGTCGTCGCACGATGCTGAAGATGTTGATGATGACAGATATGAGGAGGAGACATGCTAAGACAATAATTATGACGAGCATCCAGGAGGCGTTGCTAAGCAACTGATTAGAGTCACTCGTTGGAGGTGGTGTCGCGGACTGGCTGGATTCACTCGGTGCAGGTGACGCCACGGAAGGTTGACTGTTTTCTCCAGTGCTGTCGTTTGCACCTTCAACTGCCGCTGAAGTGGACGAAGGAGGCCCGCTGGCTGGGGCAATCGTCTCATTTTCGGTAGGTGGCGCTATATTAAATGGACCCCGAGTGCAACTGCTGCGGTATTCCGTAAAGGCATCACTAGTTGCTTCGCATCTGAAGACCGGTGCCTCACCGGTTGATGGATACAGAAGAGCAACCGTTAATTCGGACTGGACGTAGTTCTCGCTTTCTGTCTCTGTCACGGATCTCACGTCAGTGCCCCCTGCGTAGAACCAATTAAGAACGACTGTCGGTTCACTTGTTCGAGAAGAACAGAGAAGAGTCACCACCTGCCCCTGGCGAATGGGTTCTGGGAGAGCTTCTCCAAGGGTAGAACATAAGGGATACTTTCTGGGCGGCAAATAGTTGATTTGGAGCTCAACAATCGCTTCCTCCGTTGTGACCTGGCTTGCCGCATCTCGAGTCGCCTTACAGGTGTAGGTTCCCGAGTCTGCGCGTCCAACATTAAGTATGTCCAGGAATACGAGAAACTTGCTTGATTCAGGTTGTGCCACACTCAGTTGGTATCTACTTGATTGGTGCGTAGTCATCGCGCTGATCATTTCTTGCATAATGATCTCGTTACCTTCGTGCAGAATTTGAAGGCTGATATTTGCACTGGCCTGATACTCGATGGAACAGTTCAAACGGACCGTCGAGCCGGAGTTGGCATTTTGCTGAGGTCCTACGAACATCACTGCAACTGGCACCGGAGATGTAGTTTGTGCCTGGGTGTGCACACTGACTAAGAGCACGACTAGCAATGTCACCGTCGACTCCATTGCTGTGCAACTCCAGTCAAGGTAAATATCACAACTGTCTTTGTAAAACAATGCTGCCCAGTTTTGTGTCGATCTCTCGTAGTAGGTCATCACTTCTGAATAAACATCGACCACGTTATAAATAGCTACTCATTGTTACCATTGCGTGATAGATCCTTGCTACTGAAAGTACATGTAAAACAATACCGGCTTTCCAAAGAAATCGGTTGTAAACAGGACGCGCGGTGCCTGTGACGTGGAAGTACACCCGGTTAGGTTTCCTCTCAAACTTTGTGTACAAGGTTGTACAATGTTTCTCTGTACCGGTTTCCTTATCTTCGTTTCCTGGGTTTGTTGATTAGTCTGGTTTATATTAGATACTATTTCAGGCTTCTCCACTTTCGGTTTAAGGTTGCTACTTATGCACTGTCATGTGCCATACATGTTTACGAGGATATAGGGCTCTCTGGCTCTCTCCTCCCCAGGCTCGCTGCTTCCTCCCACCCATAGCTGTGCCGAGCCGTAGAACAAAGAGCAACTCTAATATCTTTTCCCCACGTTCTGCATCTCTTTGGAAGTCCTTGCCAAGTGGCTGTTTCCCTCCATACTCATGATCGGGCCTTTTAAAGAGGAATATCAACTCCTATCTTCAGCTCTCCCGATTATTTGTTTCTCTCTTTTCATCATATTTTGCTTCTCTATGTAGCCCTTTGCCAAAAGTGGCTTTTGTTTAGCCTTACTTGGGCGATATTCAATTTCAAAAAGAAAAAATGTGTTTAGGCTTATGAAATCAATTCGTGCAGATTTTCTTGAGGAAATTGCGTGAAATTGTGTTTGGTTTGGTTTGGTTTATTTGGCACTCACACAAAATACAAAAGAATACGGAAAACAATACACAGAGATACATTTAAACATGTACGAAAAAAAAGAACAGAAAAAATAGAGAGATAGCGCAATTACAGTATACTACACACACACAACACAAACAAGGCACAAAATTGAAGAAAAAAAAATCGGTGCCTGGATAGCCCATAAAACCAAATGATGGGACCCGACATGCCTTTTAAAGACAAAACAACTCAAGAGGAATACACTTCAACACTACACATCAAGACAGCAAAATACAAGAAAATCAACAACAACAAAAAGAAAAAAATATAATAATAATTATCCTGGACGTATAATAGGGCGACTTTTCCATACAATTGTGCACAGACCTAAAATGTCATCTAACCCAAGTTTACTTTATCCTTTCTCCACGAAATTCGGGAGTATTGCTAGTTGGACTACGAGGAATCGATCTAGATGGTTTGCGACAAAAAAGTCTATGTCCCAAGGGTCGTTTTCACAAAAGGCAATAAGGTGTGTCGCCCTAATGTAGACGCGATTAACAACATCTGTCTCACTATTATAGCATTCAGTAGATTAATAATAATAATATAAAAATAATATAGAGTACATACGACAACTTTCAATACGTACCTCCTTCTGAGTGTATTAGAAAAAATACACCCTCCCATTAAGTTGCAAATAATTCATAAGATCAACAATGAAACCCCGTTTCGTTAATTGAATAAAATAAGTTTATGTGAGAGTTGTGTCAAAAAAACAACATCATAACATTCAGATGTCAGTGGTGAGTGGTCATACAGGATTGAAGTCATCCAAGTTTATGGGATACTCCTCAACTGACGTCACACTGGTGCTGATGAATATGGAACTTTGCCCAAGCATAATCCATAAAGATATGAAACCAAATCAATATAGCATCCTGAAACTGTCGATGAAAGGTTTGAATTGATATTCATTCTAACGATATCGAACTAGTGTTGTTGAAGGCGCAAGTCCTGTTTTCTCGCGATGCATCATGGGTAATGCGACAGCTGTTCTCAATACATGAACATTGTACAAAGTTGCCATATGGTAAATTCACTTCGCACCTACGTCAAAGACTCGACAGATTTTACGTTCTGGGAATGCACAGACTTCCAAGTGACCTTTCGGTGAACAACGATTTTTTTTTTGAATAATCAAGGACGTTTTTGAATGCTTTTGTGTTTTTGTTTGAATGGCAGAAGTTTAGGAGAATACAATGCAGGAGGTCGACCGTGAAGTTGAAAAGTGCACTCGATTGTACCGTTCATCCTATCAAAGGGTGCTGTTAACCCTCACTGATCTCCATATAAAAATCGGCCCATTGAGAACCATTTTTCTATACTTTTAGACGATACTATTTCAATTATTTTGAACTATATGGGAGTTGTTCAGTTGATACTGGTTCCTGCCCATACGCGAATGGCGGGATTGAAAACCAGTACAGTAGAGACTGGCTCTTTCCCCATTTTCAAATTAAGGGATTGGGAACCAGTGCATTTGAGACTGGTTTCCTCCCCATATTTGATGGAGGGATTAGAAACCACTGCAGTAGATCTAAAGACTGGCTGCCTCCCGATTTTTAAAATGGAGCTAGGGATTGTGAACCAGTGCAGTTGAGACTTGCTCCCTCCCCAAATTCGAATGGAGGGATTGGGAACGAGTGCAGTTGAGACTGGCTCCCTCCCCATATTCGAATGGAGGGGATTGGGAGCCAGTGCAGTCGAGACTGGTTCCCTCCCCATATTCGAATGGAGGGATTGGTATCCAGTGCAGTTGAGACTGGCTCCCTCCCCATATTCGAATGGAGGGGATTGGGAGCCAGTGCAGTTGAGACTGGCTCCCTCCCCATATTCGAATGGAGGGGATTGGGAGCCAGTGCAGTTGAGACTGGTTCCCTCCCCATATTCAAATGGAGGGATTGGGAACCAGTACAGTTGAGACTGGTTCCCTCCCATATATTCGAATGGAGGGATTGGGTACCAGTGCAGTTGCAATGAGACTGGTTCCCTCCCCATATTCGAATGGAGGGTTTGGGAACTAGTGCAGTTGAGACTGGCTCCCACCCCATATTCAAACGGAGGGATCGGAAACCAGTGCGTATAGCTTCACTTGTTAGTACACCTCGGAATGGCCAACAGCCTAGCAGATGTTTATTGGAATTATGTACGTTAGCAAGTATATACCAATCGTATCATGAACTAGAGATATCTGAAATTATATCAAACATTTTTTAAATTTTTTTTAAGAAATTGGTATTCTGGTGAATTTTGATAGTTAAATAAGAGTCTTTAGAAATAAACATAAATAATATTATAAACAATAATAAAAAGTCAGTCGCACAGGTTAACATGGCAATTACATAACATGTTTTTCATGGCAATATGGCGGATGGTGACTTCACTTTGAAGCCGGTGTCCAGATTTTGTTTTTTACATGAATAATATGAAGATCAGTGAATGCACGTACATGTAGTCTACACGAGTTGAATACGTGCGTACATTGATAAAAGGAAGTGACCCGCCGACAACGCAGCGGTCACTTGTGCCCTTGGATAGGGCGGTGGCACGTGGGACGAATAAATTCGATGAGTGGTCTCTTCGAGGGAAACGCTTGGTGGCACACTGTTAATCATCACTCGTGTCCCCGTCCTATTTGTTGAACTAGAAGAAAAAAACACCTTTATATTTTATACCAAATTTCATTCAAATAAAAATTGTCGGATATCCTTTAATACGTCTCTAGTGTATTCATTTTACGACTGGAGTGGCATATATTGGATTCCGTACAGCATTCCAATGGAGGTTTAGGAACTTGCGCGTAGCTTCAATGTTTGCACAGCAATCATTGGCCAATGGGCTAGTATCCAGACTCGTTAACAGGGAGGTCATGATCGAGTGTGACCTAGCTACCGTGGTCACCTGACCGAAAGCTCGCCATCTAATTGGTCAGCTTGATTGACAGGCAGGGTTTTACTCATCCTTGAACCCATGGCTTACCTTATTGTAAACCTCGTTTCCAATAGTAATTAGCCCTGAGGTGGGAACTTGCTTCCTGTATCCTGATTCGAAAGCGCAGTTAGCAGGTAATGGATTTAAAACGAGTACCTGGTGTTGTTATTTCCAACGTGTATTACGTGTTTTCAAGTTCGTTGGAATTATTACGTCCACACCTCAAAAAATACCCTTTCCTTTGCAATTTACTCATATTGATTATATGAAGTGTGATACTGCATTTTTGGCTGGATATAAGATTGAAACATTGTAACAAAAATCGTGTTTTCGTAACTCCCACCGGCGTATTTATTATTGCTGCATACATCGTATTTCAACCAATCACATCACGCATCCTAAATGAATATTTATCATGCTTCGTGGATGGAAGACACTTGGGATCTTGTAGTGTTTTCCCTTCAATTCAATTCATCCCAACCAACAACAACAAAAAACCACGGATCTTGCGATCCATATAAAATTCATTATCCACTAGGCCACTGTGGCAGCTCGACGAATGCCGTTCTTTGAAATGCTGTAATGTACATGCATGACTGAGTGATAGCATTGGTGTGACGTCATTGTTATTTTCTTATGAATAAACATCGAACTAGCTCAATAATCATGATCCATTGACGATGTGTGCTGCAGATAGAAACCCCGCCTCCCGCCGCGACGTATTGATTCTGTCTTTACCCCAGACACCACATACACGAACAAACGCTCATGCACAGGCAGGCACCAGACTATTCCTCATTTGTGGGAGCATACTGCCCGACACACTGGGAACGAGGTTGGGCTCTACTCGTATTATGCACACGCATGCAGTATACGCATGCGGTAAAGTCAGGTGACCGATTAAACAAACTTCATCCAATGAGAGCTTAAAAATTAGAGGTCAACTATAGGTCATCCAAGAGCCTATGCCGACAAAATCATTTTGTGTGCTCTTCTCTGTTCAATAATACATAATTTTGTAGGGTTTGCATTGCTATGGTCTGTATATGTAGCAAGTAACGGTCCAAGTTCAGCTCCGCACTTTGAACTTGCATTTCGGCCATTGTTAAACAAGTGGTTCTTCTTCTCAGAACCACACAACTCAAAAGAGATATCATTCACATGGTGTTACCGCAAACCTTCCAACCATTGTTCATGTCCACCATGCAAACCTTTTAAGTCTCACAGAAGTTTGCTGTTCTATTTCTCGATGAAGTGGTTGGATTCCAAAATGGCGGTGGATATCGGGACTGCATTTTAGGAGTGTTCGTCATTGCATTTCAGGGGAGAAAAATCACCTATAACTCATAGATTTACCCCTCATAAAGCAAGCACACACTGAAAGAGGGTAAATAAAGTGTTTCTTGAGCCTATTCGAGACCCCCCCAGTTTTTTCTAGTTATGTATTTGTCATTGTTGTCTCCGGCAATTTATTTACTGGTCTGTTCCCGTCATAAACAGGAAAGTGCCTCTATCCAACGAACTTTTGTCCAACAGAGTTCACGATTTTCCAGTGCGTCCGTTTCGGTGTTGCACAAGCCTGTCACCAAAAGCCACAATAGAGCTTCCTTCTAAAGCGGTATTTCCTTTAATACTTTGGGTTTCTTTTTCAGGATACAATAGTTAAAATAACAATTCTGGCGCCAGGCTTTCCACTAATCGGTCTGTTGGGTTTCTCCCCGTGAGCGCTCGGTCGAGGACATCAGTCGCAGCGGCACGCACCGCTCAACCACAGTGATTAATTACAAAGTCGAGTTTTACCTTGAAAACAAAATATTCACTTAAAAAGGGTTAATTCCTTTTCTTGCATTATGTTCGTTTTTAAATAATAAAACCACTGAGACTCAAAAAATTCTCAAAACCTAATCTGTTAAAGTTTCAGCTCGGTGGATATTACACTTTTTATAAAACAATGTAAAACCGTGTACAAATCTTTTGATCATGAAACACAATTCGTCATAGCACTCTTTAATTCCAAATATCTGTCAATATTGACTGATCGTTGACAATCACCTATATTTCTTTATTTCTTCTAAATGAAAGCGATTCGGATGGAATTATTTCACGGACTTTTTAGTTCCTGTACAATCTTTAATTGTTATAAGCTGTTTTGATAATAATTCGGCAGTTTACTTTTGGGCATCGATAAAAGGAAATTCGATCCTATATGCTTTATAGTCGAGTCAAGCGGAGAGGCTGTAGACATTTATCATGTTGCAGCCATCTTGATTTTCTTCCCATTTAAATCAACGTAACCAAAGCGAGGCTGGACGGGAAAAAAGTCTTGTTCTTTTTGGCACAAAAATATTATCATTCAGTACTGTTATTGGATACAGAGAACATGACTAAAATGGCGGCAGCATGATAAAAGTCTTGTACAGCCTTTTGATTCAAAGGGTTTGTGACTCATGATCAGAGGGTCAGGGGTTCAAATCCACAGCAGTTGCCTATATTTGTGTCTTAATAGGCAAGCAACTTGTCCCCTACCTGCCCATCTCCACTCAGAGGCACGGAAAGGAACATGTTTAAGCGGCGTGGGGCAATCGAAATAATCTGACACTACATGTATGACAACACTGGTGAAACACCGAGTGATCTTTATGAAGTCATTCTTGATCTCTATGCAGTGTACGTTGTTCATGTACATGTATACTGTCGTTTTAGGCGAACGTCGTCATTGATATGGCAAACCACGAGTGTAACTCGCAGAAGCTGAAGCCGCAGGTTATTCTGTGACGGGTGATTGATTTTGAGGCAAAATATTTGAACTTTATTGAATTGTCGTTCTTTACACGGAGCCGCCATATTAGAACGAAAGCGAGACTGTACTTGCAGAACGAAGACTCTTTCGAGTTGTTAACAAGAATCCAATCATTTTTACCGAAGCACTGTGATGTACGTCAGAGGGCTATCAGAAGTGCAATGTACGTCACATGGCTATCAGAAGTGCAGGCTACCCACCAGTTTTGTACACAAACAATCACAAGTTTACACAGTGCACTAGACAATGTAGGACGCATGCTACAACCTTAAGCCCACCACGTCAACATATTGTCCATGTTCACAAAAGAAGTGCACACCGTTTCCAAACTGTGAAGTCGGGCAGACAGACACGGCTGTCAACATACATTTAAATAAGCCCACCAGCTTGTGTGGGAATCTCTAATGGGCCAGACTCTATGTCCGTTTCATAGTTGAACGTTCACCGTGAATGATGCGTGGGCTAATAATTCCTTGGGATACCCATTAGGCCAAAAAAAAAAAGTCTCCGGTTTCTGGTATGGAGCTCGCCCAAAAAGTGGTGCGGCGACGCGGCTTTTTTTTTTTTTACCTGTTTTTTTTGCTTCAAATGTCGGCTGAGGACTGCAATTGGTGCCCGACTAAACTTAGTGAAAATATATGGGAGTCCAGAGAGTCCACATAAAGCTTATTCTCGATCATAACCCCATCTAAAAACGCGTTAAAATTGTACAGCAGCAGGATTCCATTCAAACCAGTGAGTTTGGCAGTTTTGAGACATCATCTTTTATTGAAAAAAAAACTTTTTCATTTTGCCGACGCGCATGGCTACGGCGACGCGCGCGCATACCAGAAACCGGAGACTTTTTTGTGGCCTAATGGCCCAGACTCTATGTCCGTTTCATAGTTGAACGTTCAACGTGAATGAATATGCGTGGGCTATTCATTCCTTGGGATACCCATTACAATCGAAGAAGGTACAGCGCCGAGCTACTCTACATACAGTGTAGCAGTAAACTACTGAACTGCAGGCGTGGTTCTAGAGCCTATTTTAGGGTGGCTAGCAGGGGCGGATCTAGAAATGTTTGCAGGGAGGCGTGCTGAAATATTGACCGGTTTGTTTTTTTCTCCGGACACTGGAGCTAGTGTGGGCGAATATTACTATGGTGACTCTAAAAGGACATAACGACTTTGAATCAGATCATTTTTTACTTCTGAAAGTCAACTCCCCCTTTTTATTGTTTTACTACAAGAATATATTTATATAAAAAGTTATGCATCTCCAAAATTGTGAAATGTCTTGTCGTATAACCTAAAAGAAAAATACAATCCATATACTGACTTATGTTTTGTGTACAATTTGATTTTTTTTTGCCAATCGTAGATATTAAGTAAAGCATAATTGAGGTAAACGGAAATACTCACAAGCTAAGATAATTATTTTTGACATGTTTTGTGAAAAATTATTGTTTTCTTGCTAGGCCTATACGTTCATGCCGATTGTATAAACTCTCAAAAATGTAGTTGAAGATTGAATGGGATGTACATTCAGAAGACACTTGAGTTAAAGTTGACTAAAAAGTAGTCAAACTGGCACCCAGCAGGGCTGCTAACCCTTGCTGTAGTCAGCCGGGTACCAGTTGGAAACTAGCACCCAGCAGGGGCTGCCGACCCTTGCAGTAGTCCGCCGGGTACCAGTTGGAAACTAGCACCCAGCAGGGGCTGCTGACCCTTGCTGTAGTCAGCCGGGTACCAGTTGGACTGTGTTCTAGTCAAATCTATCAAGTGTTTTAAGACTGTAGGGAAAAGATACCTTTCACCTTACTATTACGTACATTCAAACCTTTGTATTTATACCTTAAATATTGATCTTTAAACTAGTATATACATAATTCGATTAAGATACATCGTTTATCACGGGACAAAGGGAGCAGACTACTATGGAGCAGACAAGATATACAAATCCATGACGGTATAGTCCAAGAGGGTCATGCACCCAGACGTCTGTTCAAAATTTACCGTTGGGCGGTAGATGACCCGTGTTCTTAGCATTGAAGTAAATGTAATTACATGTAGTGTTATTCCTGTGTTTCTTCTAATCCTTAACATATAAGTCAACCAGTTACCCGATTATAATGTGTTTTAATAGGTTCACACAAAATGTAAGGTGTATACACAAATCAAAAAAAAAATCGACTAATGTACATTCGTGGGACACCTCGCTAATGACCGTGCGCCGGTGCCGTTGTGTCAACTTCGATGACTGCCATTTCTTTGTAAATATCAGCCGTTCAAACACACTTTGGATTTGTGTATACAGAACACATACATGGAAAGCGAGTTATTAAACCTTATTGGAATTTTACATAAGATGTATTAAATTTCACTGTAGAATATTACATTGATCCCTGCTCTCAAAAATTAAAAAATACAATAATATTGACAACCACAACCACGTATACTTTTGTTTTACATTCAGTCTGTTTAAGTGGATTTCAAACCTATGTAAACATTTAACGATGCCAAAAATCTAACCATAACTAATTAATCTACCTCGGAGTTATAAAACACATGTATATAAAATAGCTTAAAATGTTCTGACAACTCCCCAATACCTATTTCAAACAGTATTATATCTTTGAAAGACACATGTGGTATATTTGTATCAAACGTGTGATAGGCTTAAAGATTTCCCCAAAATTGTAATAGATTGGTGACTAAGTCATAAAGACGTCAGAATCATACATAATTATATAGGGAGCCATACCTCTGATTTGATTTAAAACAGTAACATTTTGTAGTTTTCAAGATTAAATAATAACAAAAAATAATAATAAAAAGTAAGTAAAATGTGCAAAGTTTATTTAGACTGACCAGTGATCGTCATATTTTTGAAATGATGCCAACTTTTCATCAAACCTTCGAAGCAAGATTTAAAACAAATTAGAAAAACAAGTGCAGTGGGGGAAAATATCATTTTGTATTAAAAGATAAAAAAAAAGAGTTTGCAGGAAATGGATCTCATGATAAAATTATAGCCTTCTAGAGATATGGTGGACACAATAAGAGGGCGCCATTTAAGTGGTTAAACTCGTACTGACTCAAATTTAGCCATTCCTAATAGCGCCCTCATATTGTGTCCGATTTTAATCACAAAAGGGCTTTAATGAGGCATCTTTATGCCCTTTTTCATTGTTGACTTGGAGGTCAAAACGAAACACCACGCTTTATATGGACCACTCTCCAGTTGTTCTCTGCAAAATGAAACAGAAACAATGTAACTTGTTGGCTGTCCTTAACAGGAAGCTGAAGTGCAAAAGATGCGAAATGCGCAACAATTATGAGCAAAGTGGACTGCCCATGCGCAACAATCCATCTTTGTCTATTACTGAGAGACATAATCCACTTTTAATTTTAAAGACATTTTAATTCTGAAACTCCGAACGGTTGAACTGTTGAAAGAGTCTCCCACTTTGAAAGTGTCACACTTAGGTGTCACTAACAATTCCGTTCACTTTTTGATTGCATGAACAACTGAAGATATCGCACATCTGTATTACTATTGGACACATATAAAAAGCCATTTCCAATATTGTACATATGCATGTATGCAGTTTCCGTTCACAAGAGCAATCAGTTGTGAGATGGGTTGGTGACTTTATGCAAATTCGTAAATACTAATAACCAACAGCAATTATAGTAATGATAAAATGTGAATTTTGTGGTTGAGTTTACCTGTTCAGATGACGGGTGTTTCTTGGTGCTGTAGCCATTTATGGCTTGTAGATATGTGCTGGGGGTGGCCCATATTGGCCATCGTAGTAGCGTGGGCGTGGTGGTGGCTATTGTTAAAAGAAACGAAAATAACAGAGATTAAGTTACATCTAAAAGAAATAGATTGACTATTAACACAATAACAGTGACCAGTGTTGTAGTCGAGTACATCACCAGTCCTGCAAGTCCTCGCAAGCCCATCACATGTCCATCACAAGTCCTTCAGTCTCAAGTCACTAGCTATTCAAATGAACTGTTACAAAGCAGTCCTGTGTCATTATTCATAGTTGTGACTGGAATGGACCGATCCAGTAAGCTCCGCCCAGTGCGCACGTGGGCAAATTAACACGTGCTCCTCTCCAATGCCACGCTGCATTTTCCTTCCGCGCACATCATACACTCGTGCACGCATGTCGGACTTTTGTGCACGCACGTCGGACATAAATCACGGCTGTGATTGGTCAGAACACCATGGGGCGGTGCTTACTGGATCGGTCCATTGTGACAGGACTTGTGAAATGACTTGTGATGGACACTACTAAAAACACTGACAGTGTATGTGGTTGGGGTTTACCCAATGTTCCTTATACCTACTTTCCCCAATACCTATGTTCCCCAACATCCTTAGGGTTAGGGTAGGTAAGATGTTAGGGTTAGTGTTGGGGAACATGGGTATTGGGGAACATATGTATTAACCCTCCTGCTGTCTGAACAGTCACAGGCAGTAAAAATTCATCCACTTCGCCTGTCATGCATTTTACATAGGCTAGTCACTAACAGTCAGAACACATTTCAAGCAAGCACATGCCATATTTTCAATGGGGAGCGCCAATAAAATCCTAAAATCATTCACACTATATTAACTAATGCACCCTTGTCGACGGCTATTTCTTCTTTAGGGGGAGACCGTTCGCATGTACATCACAATCCTTCTTTTTGCTAATGCAATTTTTTTTTACGGAAATTATTTTTGGGGGGGCTAGACAAAATTTTTGGGGGCTACAGCCCCCCCCCCCCGTAGAACCGCGCCTGCCTGAATTAAAACAACAGATGCCCTTCAACATGGCCGCAGCGCATTAGGTCTATCTACAATAGGATTTGCCAGTATTCAAACCGAAGCCCCATAGACTCAATAACAGCCGCATTAATGGAGGCTTACCCCATAGTAGTCTCCACCGCTCCCGAAGAGAGCGTAGCTGCAGCAGTCCATGAACATGGCCATCAGGCTGACGATGAAGAGTATGGCCGCCATCAGGATGACGCTTGAGTATATGGAGATCAGCCTGTCATTCACTGTGTTGGTGTTGCTGAGGCCAATCGTCAGGACAGACCACGCCCCCCAGGTGTAGAAACCAATCACACAGGCGGCCAGGATCATGCCAGTCAGATTCAGCAGCAAGGATCCAAAGTTGATCTGTACAGGACACAAAATATGTAGGGTAATAGTAGTATAGTTAGGGTGGTTTTGGTATATAGTACTTAGAGTAGTAGTGGTATTGTTAGAGTATAGTAGTGGTATATTTAGTTGAGTAGTAGTACAGGGTGAGTGAAAAAAAACCGCATTTTTTTAAATCAAAGTCAATTTTATCAGAAATAGAATAAGCGTGGCCAAAATTTATTTTACCAGAATTATGTCACTTCTAATCTGAATAGATCATGCAAATTTCACTAACGTGGAGCTAAGCATGGCGAAAATGCCTGAAAAGTTAGAGTTCACTTTTAAAGGTCGACTAACTTTAGAACAGTACCATCTGATTGTGATCAAAGTAGTGGGCCTATAATGTTCCAGACCACCACTTATGAATAGTGATGTAATGGTCGCATGTCCCACTAATTAAATATCCAACTATCTTTGTTAAAAGAATGAACAATTAGTAGTTTATCAATACTTACATTGAGATATTCACGGTTGCGTTTTTTGCTGGCGGTCAGAACGGCGAGGATGTTTCCAATGCCAACCATGACAATCTGAAAGAAAAAGAAAGAAATCATCCAACATTTGCCATGGGTTTTACAATGAAATCTCAGACATGTTTGTTTTCGCTGAACAAAACAAGTTTAAGTGAGCTTTAAGCCTGTAGACCGATACCATACCGTACCGCAAAGTGCTTCATATATTATCTAGTAACTTTAATATTTCTAGTAACTTCAATACTTTAAAACCCTCCTGCTGATAGCACTGTCAGAAACTGTCAAAAAACAACCAAGACAATGGTTGCGCAAGTCAGATTTCACCTGACCCCTTTTAATTGTCTCCTGTGCAGTCATACATGAAAACTAATCCAGTGAAAATGTCACCAAAAGAATTAGCAGGAAGAGTTACACTGACTCACACTGTTTTACTCTCAGTCAGGCATGGTACCTTCAATTGACGAAAGTGCCGAAGCCCATCAATTCTACCAATATCAGGCCAATTTGCAAAACTGTTAAAATCTGTCGCTTGACACATTTTGACAGACATGGTATTTCTCTTCTTTTTGTCACTGACGGAGGGAGGGTAACAACAATTAACTTTTAATACTTTCAAATATCTACAAGTACCTATTTCCGATTGTTATAACTACGTTTGCGTTCAGAACTACTATTTCTTTACTTCTATCATCTACTGCACCTACTCTCAAATTTGCTTCTGTACTATTTCCATCTACATTTACTTAAAGTTATCGCATTTGAAGCTACTTAGAACCAAGTCAAAGAGTTTCTAGATGACCATCGCTGAACTGAGAGTCAGCTAAACTTGCGCTTTGAGCATCATCTCCGTTGATAGTTAAGATAGGTCTTTAACCCTCATAGTCTTCTGCGTTTTACAACCCTTCAGGTTTTTGCCTATAGAGTTAGCGCCCACGCTTCAAATTCTTTTGAGGTAATCTTCTGTGGAGAATGGATAACACTTCAAATCCCTGTTCGTTTGTGTTGTTAAGCGCATGGCAAGCAGGCAGATTTGGACACGCTTATAACTGCTTTTCACTGGCAGTGCTGTTTCTGTGCGTGCAGTGACTCTCTCCATATTATGACTCATGGCCCATGGCAAGTTTTGTCTGCAACACGTCCCTGTCTTTAATTGTTCATACCAAATTCCAACCCAATCATATTTAGATATCAAATCTCAAAATATACACCTCTAAAATAACTTGAGGGAACACAAGTTCACGATGGGGTCTTTACCTAAGTTAAGATTTATAGAAACTCGATGTCATTTAATGGTCAAAGTGATGGGCTGAATAAATGATGTACATTGTACACAGTCTATTGAATTTGGGGGAGAAAAACAAAAGAAAAAAGAAAACTTTAACGATTACCTTGGCTTTTCCGCTTTTAACGAGAAAAACCAATTAATACACCAAAATACAGGGTGAGTAAAAAAAACCCGAAACCCAAATGTCGGGACTATTGTTTTATTGAAGTTCTGCATGTAGCACTTTCAAAATCTACGAAATAAAAGCCCAATTCATACGCTTTCTTTTAGTACAAGAATCATTCGAATCACTTTTGTACTTTTTAAGTTACAGAATTTTAAACACAACCACCGTTTTACGGTTCAGTCCACGGATCACAAAGTTCAGTGTTCTTTCAGCAAAACGAAATCATATAGGGATGCGTGTGATTTTTATTCGTTTTGATGAAAGAACGCACACCTTCTTTGTGATCCGTGGACAGAACCGTAAAACGGTGGTTGTGTTTAAAATTCTGTAACTTAAAAAGTACATAAGTGATTCGAATGATTCTTGTACAAAAAAAAAGCGTATGAATTGGGCTTTACCCTCATAGAAAATCTCTGGCAAAATCCTATGTTTTTCCTATTGAAAATACATTTTTAAGCTATTTTCTCCTAGAAAATAGGAACAAAATATATTTTATTTCTATTACGTCAAAACGAGTACATGTTGCCACTCTATTTTATTTCTATTTTTAAAACTGCACGCTATTTTATGACGATTTTTGGAGACTTAGACATTTTTGTGTGGTTCACAGTCTATTTTTCGTCTATTTTCTGGACACTTACACATGTTTATGAGAACCATGGACTATTTTTAGTCAGTAGAGATGTGTGCAATGGGGGCAAGTATATCTGGGGTTAAAATGCATCCAAATCACTGTAATGGAGTGACAAGTGCACCACATGGTTAGTAGATTTTCCAGGACAATTATGAGTAACATTCTTGTACCGTTTCAAGCTGTATTTTGCTGAAAAAGCACGCACAACCGTAGCATGGTGAACTACATGTAAACTGTTTTAATAACTTGATGGTGCATGATGTATGTGTATGTTAATTGTTTGGACACTGTGTTGTCACAGCATTATTACTGTTCATGGTAATTTTTTTCTCAATTATTCCATTCTTATGCAGTCATATTGCTTGCTTACTTCATGTACCGTATGTTTGAGGACTGCTAAAGATGCCTATTGTCCACAAGGACATGTGTACTATTAACATGTATGTCCACGTATTATAACAGTTGTTTGGACAGACGCTATTTTGTATTTTTTTTAAATAGCATAATTTTTTTAAAAATATCAACCTATTTTACCTGTATTTTACCTTTATTTTTTAAAAAGATATTTTTTCACTATTCTATTTTTTCGCTATTTTGGGGGGTGTCGAAATACAATGGAAAAAATAGATTTAAAAAAAATGTATTTTCAATAGGAAATAAATATAGTTTTTCTCTATTTTATTTCGACCTGGGTAATATCCTAGATTTTGAAAATGTCACATGCAGAACTTCCTTAAAACAATAGTCCCAACATTTGGGTTTCGTTTTTTTTTATTTTGTTACTTACCCCAATACCGGCCCACATGGTCACACCGACGGCACCATGAGCAAAGAGGATAACCGAATCTACTCCATATAGAATGAAGATAACACCAAATGCTATGTCCAGCCCTCCCGTGAACAGCAGCACCGCATTACGTCCAGAGATGCCCATACTGCAAGAAAGGAAATCATGTACTGCTGTAAGTGAAACTATCGTGAGGCAACAAGTCCTCACATTGCCTAAGAAGTCCTTACATACAAGTCCTCACAAGTCCTAAAGAAGGTTATCAAACGTCCTCACAAGTCCTAAGAAACCATCAGAATACCTCACAATAGAGGTCATCACAAGTCCTCACAAGACGTGTCCTTATAAGTCCTCACAAATCCACCACAAAACCATCACAATTTCTTACATGTCCATCAAAAGTCCTCACAAGTCCATCACAAGTTATCCAGTCTCAGTTTCAGTGACACTTCATTCAAATCAGCTCGTTCATTCGTTGTTATTGTTCATCCTCTGCCACTCTTGACCAGAGTTGCGAAATGACTTGTGAATTACTTTGGACCGGACGTGTGCAATGACTTGGGAAAGGACTCGTGCAATGACTTGGGAAAGGACTTGTGTAAGGACTTGTTACAGGCTCAACTGAAATACTGCAATTCTGAGACAGAATTTGTCGATACAGCTCAATCCAACAAGATCAAACTACACTCAACCAAAAAAGAAAGTCCCCCCTTAATACTTTTTTGTCTAACTCAAAATCTACTGGGCACTTCTTGCTCAAATTACGACTGATCAGTGCAGAAATTCCTTAGCAATCATGCCGTACTCTTTGTTTGGCCGAAAACAGTGATAATGTGTACAAAATGTTGCAATTTATGACAAGTGGTACATGTACCAAAAAACAAGTTGCACTTTTGTACACTTGCAAGGTGAGTGTGAACCGCAACATGCACATATACAAAAGTGCAACCGTTTTCGGTATCATTTGTCATAAATTGCATAAATTTGTACACATTATCACTGTTTTGGGCCAAATAAAGAGTATGGCTGGATTGCTAAGAATTTTCTGCACTGATCAGTTGTAATTTGAGCAAGATGTGCCCAGTAGTTTTTGAGTCAGACAAAAAAGTATTGGGGGGGGGGACTTTCTTTTTTGGTTGAGTGTGTATACACCCGCTGGGTCCCGTTGGATTGAGCAGTTCACCCCTGGTATATACTCCTGTTGAATTCAGCGAGCAACTGAAACATTCCAAGTCGGAGGCTGTTTGGTACTAGTAAATAACGCCTGCAAAATAAGGGACAGTTGGATTCTGTTGGATTGTGCATGCCAGTCAATTAATATTTTCAGTTACCCAACAACTTGTAAAGTTGTATTGTGTGGGACTCTGTTAAGTTGAGCAAGAAGCTCAACGAGTAACCGCCGGACTCTGCTGGATTTAGCGAGGTAGTCCTGGGGAACTTACTGGAGGGTTAGGGTTTTAAAGAATGACGAATCTTGACAGATTTGACGAGAAGTGTTCAATCGAACTTTCAGTTGGTTTGACTGGCATCAGAACCATCTTATTTCAAAAAGGGCAAAACATCATTTTATTCGCGCGGACATTCAATTCATCTGACTAAAAGCATGGACAGGCTAGAGACCGACATTTCACTAGGGTGATCAAAAGTATTGCAATCTAACAAACAGAGCGATTTCACTCTAAATCGTCTGGTGCCCGGTTTCACTGCTTGGAAATAATTTGTGCTTATACATATACTGCATACCGGGCCTACGAAGCTTTGAAACCTCATTTGCTGTGGGGGGTTTAACTGAGTGACAATCATTTCCTAGAGATCCTTAGTGCAGAGTCCTGAAATTTTTCGATCGTGAATAAATTCCCAAATCGGGCCACGTGACGGGTAACGGGCAATGAAATTTAAACAGATAAACATTTTCGACAAAATTGTGACGGTACTTGGACCATAGTCTAGAATAATCGCGACATTCATTGAGTAACTAAATGGCGTCTTTGGATCGCCGCCGTAGTTGTCAAACATTGTACATCTCGAGTGACCAAAAACATGATGCTAAACTATGTGTAGGCATTATATCATCTGCTACATGTAGAACATATGGTCCACGGCTACACTGAGTACATTTTATACGCTGTTTATAAAATACGTCGGTAAAGGGCAAAACCTGATAATGAATGTACATGTATACCTCCCCGTATTTATAAAGTCCATCGTGTAAATATATTTTAGTTGCGAAACGAACAATATATCGTTTTCGAACCAGCCAGCTGACCCGGTAAGCTTGGTGGTCGAGTGGTTAGACGTTTGAACTTGTAAGCAGGAGGTCATGGGTTCGAATCCCACCCGAGGCAGGCTTGTCATTTCCTTTTCGCAGGCCCTCGGACAACGCCGAGTATACGCTGTTTATAAAATACGTCGGTCAAGGCCCAACTCTAACATTGATCATTTAAACGAATGTTCATGTATTATTTTTGACAAAATGGAGACGGTATAGTACTGGCACAATCATCTACAGGTATCATAAAATTGAATGACAAATGGCGTCTGTAGGTCACATGACATCTTCCAATCCGGTTTCATCTCAAAATTGGCAAATGTTTAAACAAAATGACACAACTGCAATAAACGAACTTGTGGCTACTCTCGGTTTCGATCTCACTGAACTGGATAAAATGACCTTATGTGGAATTTGTAACCGGCATACAATTGGGTGCGTCCCACTTGTGTGGTAACAATACCCTATGCGTCACGCTGCACAAGGGTGGAGCAAAGCCACGGTGTCCTCGAAATGACTTTGAACTTCAACTTTATATCATGTTCTTTAGCCTTTCATCAAAATTCCCTACAGCTAGCTCTCTATAGTCAGTGGGATACAATTATATCATTGTCTTTAAAACACCTTAACATAAACTGCATTGCAATTAGCTTTTATCGGTAATTGCTTTATTTTTAAACCAATTCCATTTCTTCATATAACTCATATCACGCAAAGTTCTTAGCAAAAGATGGGCACAAGTTGTCTCAAGTAACTTCCCGGCACGGGTGGTATTTTTTCTACTACCGTTTTACGTGACCTTTTCAACTTCCATTTTGTGTGACTGTGGTTCGAACCCAACTGGTGTTAGTCCCTAACAAATAACATGACTTTTTTTCTCTTTACTATTTTCTTGGAGTGTTCTCTTGAGAGTTGAACTATGTACATGTACATCATCTAATATTGGTTTCTCCGAGATATGAAGAATATAGTTTTTATATCAGTGTGTAAGGTAAAGGGGACGAACCTGTGTTAACAGGGAACGGAGTGCCCTTCTCTCTTTCGTTAGCGACTGGGCCAGACTCATATGCTGCTGTGGGGGGATCGCCACACCTCCTCCACAGTGAGTCTGTTACCTTCCCAGCATTGAATAATGCCGATATTACCCATTTAACACCTGGGTCGAGAGGAGTAATTGAGGTAAAGCACCTTACTCAAGGGCACAACACGCATGACCAAGGCGGGCTTGAACCCACAACCTCAAGATCACGAATCCTGTGCTCCACCGCTAGACCACACTTGCCAGTGAAATAATTCTATTAAGATTGGTATATAAGCTTCCAACCCAAAATGTGTACGTGACAGATAATTCACCACATTAAACCCGTCTATTGCTTTCTAATTCTTTTGGATTCGAAGAAGAAAATGTGACCCTGATACGGGCTCTAAGCGGCATACCATAAACTCTTTGTGAATACTTTATGCCTCAGCGCGGTGGCACAAATACTCAATTTCCTTCGATTCAGGGTTGTCGATTGACCGCACGTAAGCCTACTGTTCTCAATAGCGCAGAAACTCGAATGAAGGCCTGTAGGCTATAGTTTCATAAATATTCACTCACTTTTAGTTGTAGCCCTAAAAAGCATATTTAATATTGAAGGATTCAGGGATGTTAGGGGTGCACCCAATCAAATATATTCCAAACATGAAATCAATTAATTGCTTGTCGTGGGCCGATTTGATCGTGCGATTATTCATAGGAAAGCTCATAATGAAAAGAAAGATGCTACGAAAATGCTAGAAATTACCAATTCAATTTGAGAATCTATTTTTCAAGGTGCCACACCCAAAAAGCACGTGTACACCAAGATAGTGAAAACATGCAATACAAGAAAATAGACTGGCATATGAAACAACATGGGCAGTACTCCTTTAGTACTGCATCAATCAACTGCATCAAAAGAAACATGTAATACATTGTCTCTATCACATTCTATCCATACGCTCGGTCAAACTTTTCAAAAAGTTGGATGTGTTATCAGTCTAGTCCTAAGCTTTGCATTGAAATCACTTTGCTTCACTCTTCAGTGCAAATTGTGAAAGAAAGGTCTCCCTTAATTTAAAATTGCATTGAGACCCCATTGGCTGGTGAAATACTAATCCAACATTTTGGGACTCTCAATACTGTGTACGAGAGCTCAAAACTGAAGATATTGAAAACATGCAACACAAGAAAAAAGACAGACACACGAAACAACCAGTCCACATACTGTCTCAGACTCCTTGGAAAAGGAAGTCAAAAGAAACATCTAGTACCCAGTCTCTATTTCTACACATTCTCTCCATACTCGTGCCACCAGACTACTGAATGTCAATCTTTTCAAAAAGTTGGAAATGTACCAGTAAAGTCTTTAAAGCTTCAAATCTAATCACTTTGAATCATTCTCAGGTGGAAATTGTTGAAGAGAGGTCTCCTTTTAATTAAAAATTGAATTAAGACCTCAAACTTGGCTGGTGAAACACTGAGGACCTTGTCATTGCTTCTTGAAATCTTGGAGATTTTTGTCAGCTAAAGGGTGGGTAAAGTTTGACTGATTTCGATTTGCATGCCCCTTTTTCACCATATCTTAACAAAAATTTTGTCTAACCATCGCAAAAAACATGTTTGGAAAATCGTTCGGGACTCGGTGGTTTTTTTTAAAACATTTCACAAGAAAAGAAAAGGAATGTAGTATCTTGACGCCATTTTTTTAGGTTGTGTACACAGTCTTAGGTAAGTCGAGTGCATTTTCAAAGTTTTTTCTAATAACAAAATTAGGAATGTTTTTCAGTCCCAGATTCATGTCGTTTCAACATTTTTCAATGACTGAAAAGACATGAATTCATTGAGATAATTATAACTATGATGAAAAATGTGGCGTCAGGATGCAACATTCTGTCCTTAACATTTTGTAAGATACAAATACTGGACAATATCCATGACAGCAAAAACTGAACAGTTTACTTATGCTTATAAATAAGTGCACAAAAAGTTACCAAAAGAATTGCTTTATTTGAAATTACCTACACTTAGAAAACCTTTTTGAGGGCTCTAAATGTCCATGTCAATTGTCGTTTCATCAAGAAACAGTTTTTAATTTCTTTTTCCATCTTTCACAATGCGTGAAATTTGCTCACTTGAAATCACTCGGATTTTCGTGGGACGTAATTTACACAACACTCCGTAGATTCAAAGATAATTTATTAAAACGTTAACTTTCTATTTGGTTAAAATAAAGACAATCCAACCCTACAGGAACACTGACGAGACCAAATTCAAGTAGCCTGCAGATCATGTTTGTGTGCGAATCTTCGTACTCGTATTTGCTAAAGATGTACATGTATGCACATATGCCTATATAAGCCGCACTTGTGCACATAGACATTGCGAAGTATTTGCAAACATTCCCAGTGAAAGTTTGGCATGTCTTCGTTTCCCGTCCATTTGCTGTTTAAAGAGAAGTTTATTAATTGTTTCTTGGTTGATGACATGTTTAAGAATCACACGTACCTGTCGTAATTTCAGTTCTTCGTCTTGAAGATGAAAGCTGTGGATGAGATGGTGTAGCAGGCGAGTCACGGTGTCGTCGCAACACGTTGAAAAACTCGGTATGGTTGTGGCTACGTGCATGTAAACGTACTGCGTGATATGAATTGGGGTAAGCGCGCACACTGTGGTAACTTTAGGTGTGTCAGATATGCGAGGTCAGCGCAGGAAGAAGCGTATTGTGCGAATGCAATGCCCCATGTAAAATATTCAAAGATCTTTTGAAAAGCAAAACTCTCTGTTGCACGCACAATAGCAAGGCCTCTTCAGTAAAGCCCCCGTGAGACCTACCGTATATAAAGTATACGTAAACTTGGTTCGCAGATTGGAATTGATAAATAGGCGTGTTGTTATTCAGCATTACTGTTCGGCCGTAAGATAATATTCAAGGTATTTTTATTTGACGTAGTATGGAAAATGAAAGCGTGCATGAAATAGAACTGCTGGGGAAAAAACATATGGTGACGTAATAACAAGGAGGATTTGGATGAGGGGATGCGAATGATTGTGAAACAAGTTTCGATTTGGAAAACTTTACGGATTGGATGCAGTTCTTTTCGTCACAAAAAAAGTTGCCTTTTATGTCATCTGACTTGCAGGGGTTTATACATGTAGTTATTTTTTATACAAACACATTAAAACAATTTCTTTTTTGGATGGGGTGGGGGATGGGGTCAGGGGGTTTTAAGTTTGTTTGAAAAGATGTCACATGAAACATTGAGCCTATACTTTTCAACGTCCATTACCAATTTGAGCAGAATGCTGCCAATTTCAGATCTCATCTGCTTATCATCCTTTAATCCTTACCGTTTTCGGTCTTACAAACAGAAAAAGAAAAACATTGTTGTTGGTTGAAAACAGGCAGATTTTGCTTCAGGATGTAGAGAAATGCACAACTGATCACATTTTTTTAAGGAAAAAAATCGCTGATAGAGCGTAACTAGCTGGCTTACATTTGGCGGGCCAATTATGATCTCTTCGGCAAAACAACCTGTTTTTTTCTTTCATTTTCAAATTACTTCTGCCGTGGTGTCTAACCAAACGTGCGGTGAACCAAAATCTTGCTTAAAAAATGTATCTTCATAGTTCACAGACACCGACTGATATCATTCCGGATTATCCCCCAGTCTGTATGACATCCTAAAGCCTTAATAAGCTCTCAGATTGATTTCATATCACAACCAGACTGGACTAGGGGCAAGTTTGTTTTCAAGATAATTTGACAAAATCGTGTTGTCTTTCAACTCCCCTAAAACTGCTGGCATGGCTTAACAGACTTTATTTTCCCCTGAAGCCCATTTCAACATTTTTTTTCCTTCAGTCTTCACCGGCTTAAATTCATGAAATCTTTAGGTCTGCATCGAGTGACACCATATGCTCATAAGGGTCCAGACCAGTAAATAAGTAAATAAACTGCCATAGACCTTAGTGTTAATTATGCGCACTTTCCAAAGTTATTACACATACTCACAACTCTCTAAGGTGTTCAAGACACGCATCAAATTAAAGCTTAATTCATCATCTTTTATTTTCTGTTTGATTTGTTGGGGTTTATTGATGACTTTGGGGGAGAAAATTTCATCCAAAGATAATCACCCCTAAACGTAGTCCTGAAGCCCATCGCCATTTTGAAAGTGGACGCCTACGCCCCGATGCCAAATAGAGCCGTTGTAGGGCCTAATTACATCCATAATTTCACATAAATACGAGCTTGCAGTCATCTGCACGGCTTCCAAAATTCTTTATTTACAAAATCATCAAGTTCACGGCCCTCACAATGCTCTAATACCAGACAAGTTGAGGACATGCAAATCGTGATTTGGCCGGCGTAGGCAATTTCGGACCGATTTACTGGTCTTCACCCATTAAACCACGCATGCACAATTTCAGAGGCATGAACTTTTCCCCACAAAAGGCGTAGGTTGCAATGTAACTAGTCAACCGTACCAAATATGCAGCTCTTTTTGTTGCTGTGTGACAAACACAAAAATAGGGAGGTCACAGTCACTGCCTCTGCGGCCATCCATGAAACTGAATTGAAAGTTGTTTTTCATTTAAATTAGGCTGAAAATACGCCATGGGAACATAACTAGTGAGGTTTAGGCCAACTCCCTATTTACAAAATTGGTCATTAAGATGCGCGGAATAAAGTACTTCAGATTTCAAAATGATGAAGAGGTGATATAGTACGGCAGATAGGTGATGGGATTGTGCCTTTGATGATACAAGCATGGAATTTGGCACACAGTCATAGTGTGTCAGGAGAAAGATATTTGGCTATAGGCCCATCACAGACTTGTCCCTTAAAAATATATATATGTAGAATAACAAGCAATGGCAGCCATTTGCCAAAAAAATGAAAATTGCATATTTTCTTCATATAATTAATATGCTCCATCAAGATGAAACACTCATGTTGAGTAGTTTTTGAGAAATTAAAGGATATCAGCTATGTCGGGACTATTGTTTTACTGAAGTTCTGCATGTAGCGCTTTTAAAATCTAGGATATAAAAGCCCAATTCATAAGCTTTCTCTCAGTACAAGAATCATTTAAATCACTTATGTACTTGTCAAGTAACGGATTTTTAAACACAACAACCGTTTTAAAGTTCTGTCCACGGATCACAAGAAGATTAGTGTTCTTTCAGCAAAACGAAAACAAATCACATAGGGATGTGTGTGAATTGTTTTCGTTTTGCTGAAAGAACGCACACTTGTTTTGTGATCCGTGGACAGAACTTTAAAACGGTCGTTGTGTTTAAACTTCCGTAACTTGAAAAGTACATGAGTGATTTCAATGATTCTTGCACTAAAAACAAGCTTATAAAATGGGCTTTCATCTCCTACATTTTGAAAGTACTACATAGAGAACTTCATTAAAACAATAGTCCCGACATTTGGGTTTTGCTTTTTTTTACTCACCCTGTACTAGGACCCCCCCCCCTCTTGTGATGGTCATTGTGTGACCAGAATCTCAGGAATTCTTTTCAGATATCTAGGGAGATGTGTTAGGTAACAATAGTCTAGGGTGTGTTTTGGGTATTTAGGGAGATGGGGGGGGGGGACCCTTCTGTCACACATCGTGCTGGGTATGTTTATTGGTCAACTGCCCATGGGCGTCTCCAGGATTGTTTCCGGGGGGGGGGGGAGCAAATTTCCCCCCCAAATTCCTTAACTTTATCATTATATTCTCAACTTGTCATTTTTCCGAGCGTGAGCAGAGGAGCATTTGCCTCCCCCCCATCAAATTAACAGCAATATGGCTTCCCACCTCTAATTTTTCCTCTTTTTCCCCTCTTTTTTTCCTCATTTTCCGGGGCAAGCGCCTCCCTTGCCCCCCCCCCCCCCCCCACTCGCGACGCCCATGAAACTGCCACACACTTTCACACATTCTTGCCAATAGTTGATATTTTTTTACCCGAATTAACCAACAATGTGGTAACTTCATACTTATGTTCGGCAATTAACATTCACCAATATAATTATGTTTCACCCAACTTTTTTTTAACTTTTTTACTCCAGTGTATGAATCACACGTATCGGTCGGCTGAAGTCACTTTAATAATGCATTGCAATTCTGACCACGCCCCAAAACAGAGAATGGCGCTTGTATTGGCGTGGCATGTATACTGCGGTACCGCCTCACACAATGTGTCATCGAATATTTATAGGAATAACAATATAATAAGGCTAAGTACAAACAAGCTTAAAATCTGGAAGAAAGGATGCAAGCTCATTTAGACACAAAAGTACCAGCAAAAGAGTTTAGAAAATTGAAAACAAAACATCCGACATCTTGATAAATCCAACAGCGTGAAAAAAGGTTTCCTTCTTTTTGTTTCTCTCCAAAACCTGGATGAGAAACTATTTTTTTAATTGCTCGGCCTTATGTTTGGCCAGAAAATGTACGCGTGGAGTTATCGTGTGCGACATGGCATGGATTTTGTTATTTATACACCTTAGATTTTAGCATTTATCAAAGCATGATTTGGACAATTGCGTGAACCACAAGTTGAAAAACACCTTAAAGGCATAATCATTTGCTTTTCATGTTTTTTTTTTGTATGGTACTACTCAAACATCCAAAGACACACGTTCAAGGCCTAGCCTGTTGGAGTTTGAGCTCAGTGGATATTACACTTTCCGGGAATTAAGACAGTGGAAAACCATGCACGACTTTTCGATCACGAAACACGATTTGTGTTAGAAATCTTTATGTCCAACGATCAGTCAGCTGACTGATTGTTGGAAATCACCCACAATTCTTGATTTCTTCTAAATGACAGCAAGCCAGACGGTTTACTTTCACGGGGTGTATTAGCAGTACGATCTTCATTCCAAATAGTTTTTTTTTAAATACAATTGGCAGGATACTTTTGTGATTAATGCAAACGACCTATGTCTTTAAAAACGTCAAGATAAAACACACATTATACCGGTTCTGCATTAAATATTACTTTATTTAAAAGAGATACAGTGACATATCAGGGTTCCGTTGAAATGACACAGCCTTTTGATTACAATTATGATATAATATTACCTGGTCTATCGCATTATTTAAACCAACACATAATATGGGCCAAAGGTAGTAGTTGTTTTATACAGGGTGAGTAAAAAAAACCAACGAAACAGATTTTGCTGAACCAATTCCCGAAGGAAGTTTTGCCTGTAGCACATTCAAAATCTAGGATATGAAGCCAAATAAGAACAAGAATCATTCAAATCACTCATGCACTTTTCAAGTTAGGGAATTTTGAACACAAACACCGTTTTAAAGTTCTGTCCACCGATCACAAAAAAAGGTAAGTGTTCTTTCAGCAAGACAAAACAATTCACATAGGGATGTGTGTGAATCGATTTTGTTTTGCTGAAAGAATACTTACTTTCTTGTGATCTGTGGACAGAACTTTAAAACGGTGTTTGTGTTCAAAATTCCCATACTTGAAAATTGAATGATTCTTGTACCTAAAAGAAAGCTTATTGATTGGGCTTTAATATGCTACATTTTAAAAGTGTTACAGGCAAAACTTCATTTGAAAATTGGTCCTGCATTTCTTTTGCTCACCCTTATACAAATGAAATGAATTTTCGAGAGAAAAAACCAAATAATATGTACACCACCGAAAACCTACAATTATAAAAAATATACTTCCAACGTGATAATATTCGATTTTCCTTCCGTTGGGGGTGACACATTTTCCCCCAAACTTATAATATCCCCAAAAGCCTAGAATGGTCTAAAATCTAATGTAAAAAAAAAAAAAAAGTTGTTTTCACAAAATGTTAAATAAAGATGTTATATGATCACGTTGGAAAATAAAGAGTATTCGAAAAAGGGTGATGTGCATTACTCATACAAAGCTACAAAATATCTTATTTAATGTAGATTTTCACAGTTATTTGAACACTTTATTCACTATACCGATACTTTATACTTAATTGAATAAGTACAATTTTAAAAAGCCACCAATTGATTTCATTTACGGTGCAGCATAGTTCAAATTTGAAGCATAATTCTAATTCGTCCTAATTTCGGTAAATTCGTCTCAGGTGGCGAAATTAGGAGTTACAATAAGTGTTAGAAATAACTGGGATAACCTATATTAATCCCTCTCTATCACCATTTTCCACACCTTACACTAATCGTAATGACTTGCAATGTTAGAACAAACTTAAAATTTGTTTTCACAACTTGAAACTTAAAAAATGATGGAACCTGCATTTTGTGTTATATATTGATGATTATTCCATACTTTTTTCCATAAAAAGTAAACTATTCATGTTGGTAAATTTAAGCATAAATCCCATGAACGGGCTTCGAATAAAATATGTGAAGTTTGTGTTGATATTTCAGCAGAGAATTCGTAATTGGTCTGTATTGTTTTTTTATATTCTGTGATGTCTTTTTTATGATTAACGATAACAAAAAATCGCAATATACAGGCAAATTAAAACCAAGGGCGGATAGGGGGGGGGGGGGGGGGGGGGGGCAAAGGGGGCCATGGCCCCCCCCCCCCAAAAAAAAAACAACGAAACCAATTTTTTTTTTTTATGTGACATCGCAATAAAGGCAGGCAATGAGTACACCACCATCTTTTCCTTTAAAAAACATTGGTTAAAGTGGTCAGAAATTGCCTCAGATCGCACCACAGAGCATCTAGAATCCAAAACTTTTTCGGGGGCCTTAAGCGGGCCCCGAACCCCACGCCGTAATTTTTTTGACCCACTTTTTGGGTGGACCCAATTTGTTTTTGGCCCCCCCTCCCAAAAAAAATGTGTTCTGGATCCGCCCTTGATTAAAACTGAACTTATATCCCCCAAACCAAAAAACCAAAAACCAAGAACGTAGCAAGTAGCATGTGTGTAATACAAATTCTAGATTATCCTTATAGTACGGTAGATAGGTGATGGGATTGTGCCTTTGATGATACAAGCATGGCATTTGGCACACAGTCAGAGTATGTCATGAGAAAGATATTTGGCTTAAGGGCAATCGCAGATTTATCCTTTGGAAAAATATAGCTAGAATAACAAGCAATGGAAGCGATTTAGAAAATAAAAAAAAATGCTTGTTATAGCACCTTTATTTTTTTTATAGGACGAATCTGCGATGGCCCTTTAGCCAAATATCTTTCTTATGACATACTCTGACTGTGTGCCACATGCCATGCTTGTATCATCAAAGGCACAATTTCCCCCAAATATTTCCCCTATCTGCCTTACTATTAGTTTACCATGAAATTTACCAACACCTAAATAATGTGGAGTAACAAATCCTCAATGTCGTAATTTTGAATGTTCAATCAACTACATATTGTTTTTTCTGGAGTAATATTTTTTATTTATTTAATTAATTACTCCACGGTTGTCAAAATACCGTGAGCAGAAGACATTCAAAACTTACATCAACACGCAGCATCCCCACGAACCTTTTTCGAGAGTCAATTTTTTTTCTTCAATTTTCGTTCTTTCCACAAGGATTTGCAAACTGAGAAGTGTTGGAAGAAAGAGTGCTGTTTTCGATAAAAAACGTGTTTTAAACTGTAGATGACTACGATATATATATACGTTGGAATATTATGTTGAATGGTAGTGTATAGCGCCCTCTGTGGGTCATGCGCAAGGGTTCTTACCGTAGAAACCGATGGATGCTGTTGGATTGTATCATCTACTGCTTGTACATGTGTGGTGGTGGCATTCCGTATGGGCTGTCATACATGCTGCCGCGTGGTGGGCGGGGTGACTAAAAATTGAAACATATGCAAATATATCCACATAAATGAATATATGGTTGCTGTAAAGATAGCGTATTGTGACTGGTACAGATTATTAATAATTGATTGAGCCATGGAATTGGGGTGGGGTGGGGGTTAAGACATCATAGCACTACACCTCTGGCCTAGACTTGGGGCTTCCAATTCTGAGCATTAAAGATGTAATTGGGTCCGAAAGTGGCGCTATTTAGCCATGCTGTGGAGGGAGCCTTTTTTGTTTTCTCACAAAATGGCTACTTTTACAGTTTGGGAAAATATCATTCGTTTTTAGGAGTGGTCTTCTATGAGTGAGAATCTCTCCAAAGGGTCATTGGTCAACCCACCAAAAATCGAAAGGAAAATGAAAGACAGCATGTTGATCATCATTTTTCCGTGCAGCCTGAACACCTGTGAGTGTTTTGAGTATTTTTTTTAAAGAATTTCAAGTATATGGGATTATATCACCAGTGTCTATAGGGATTTGTTTACTTGATTGCACCCTGCAGCGAAAACGTCGCAGCAATCCTTGACGTTGTCCCACAGGGTTGCGCATAAGAAGATCTCTTGTTCGCTACTACCGAATCATAATTAAACTATAGACATATGTTTGTGCCAAAACAATAGGGCTCGTTAATTCGTCAATCTTTTTGGTGACATCTGGCATGTACAGTTACAAGAATCATCCAGGAACGATTCTTATGTGGGTATTGCGTTGTGTACAATTGAGGGTTGTGTCCAATAGTACGTGTTTACATTCTCATAAAATTTTACATGACAGGGGATGACGTCATCATGACGTTGCCTCAATAGTCATCTATAATAACACATCCCAGTCTATACCACCAATACAAAGTTACATAACCAAATCGGCCAAATAATTCTGTTTAATATTCGAAACGGAGCCTGAGCAAGTGATGGGAATTGAAAATTTACAAAACCGTTAAGTTTAACAGATTGTCCGACATTATTACGCTTTTCAATGATAAAAAAAACACATTTATGAATGGGAATAAAAGAGTGACGACTCAGTCTTAACAGCCGTTTAAAACCGTGCAGGGTCGTGATGGCTTGCAGGTCACAGGTCACGCAAAATCTATCCAATCAGAGCGTAAATTCATCAGCCTATCCCGGCGTCCTGTTTGCAGGGCGGGGGGGGGGGGGGGGGGGGGAGCGAATAATGTGACTTACCCCGTAGTCTCCCACTCCAGGCCCGCCGGTGAACAGAGCATAGCTGCAGCAGTCCATGAACATGGCCATCAGGCTTATGATGAAGACCAGCATAGCCATTATGATGACGGCGGTGAAGATCAAAATCGCATCCTCGTGAGTGACAGTTGATGAACCAGGCACGTTGGTAGTAAGGGAACCTTGTTCCAGTACGGACCAAGCACCCCAGATGTAGAAGCCAATCAGGCAAGCAGCTAATATCAAGCCGACCAGGTTCAGCACCAACGAGCTGCAGTTGATCTGTGAATTGAGACAATAACTGTTTACATTTAGGGCTTTTGAAAGTCATGAAGGGACACCATGTCAATGGTTCTTACAGCATGTCCCGGAATAGGCGCGGGCCTGGACAAATTAATTAGCGGCCATATCTTAACAAATTCATGTGACTACGTAAGACTAAAATTTTGTTTGTGTTTTTTTTATGCTGTTGATGGTATACAGCAGATTGGCGATAAAATTGTTCAATTTGATGATAAAATCATGCAATTTCGCACACAGTCAGGGTGTGTCATGGAAAAGATATTTGGCTATAGGGCCATCGCAGATTTGTCCTTTGAAAACAATATCATAGGATAAACCAGACTGTTTTTATTTGCGGCCATTGCATGTTATTCTATGATACTTTTTCAAAGGACAAATCTACGATGGCCTTATAGCCAAATATCTTTTCCATGACATACTCTGACTGTGTGCGAAATTAATGCTTCTGTCATCAAATGACCAATTCCATCATATTGTGCACCAAACTGCATGATGCTGTTTATACATGTATTGCCTGTGGAAAAGCGAACTGAATAGATTGGAAACCTCTGAAGCCATGAATAGAAACGTAAGAGTTCCAAAAAAAAAAATCGAAATGTACATTTTTTGTGTGGCATTAGCTTGTTCTGGTAAATAGGCGGAGAAAGGGAGACCACGAACCTGTATCACACACTATTACATTTCACATGCAAAACAAGTAGAGACTATGTATTTATTTCATAACATTTGTGAAAATAATGACATAGTCTCTTCTTGTTTTGCATGTGAAATATGTTCGTGTGATGGTATTGCTCATTTGAGGGTAACAGCATAACATTTAGCACACAGTCAGAGCATATCATAGAAAAGATATTTGGCTATACGGCCGTCGCAGATTTGTTCTTTGAAACAAATATCAGAATATTAAGATCCACACTATTCATAAGATGGAATTCGCGCCAGATGGAATTTTGCCCATAAATCGACATATTTTGTAAACACTGTTTAATTGGTGTTGTCCCGAGTGATTATGAAAAAATGGCTTACGTATCATCCAAAACCTTCAATTGATTATTGATAAGTCTACACTGATTACAACTAATTATGCAAATCGATTACAATTTTAGCAATACTTACATCGAAAAACTGCGTGTTGCGTTTCTTCTTGCTGGCGGTCAACACAGATATGATATTCCCGATACCAATCAAAACAATCTGTAAAAAAAAAAAAAAAAAAAAAAAAAAACACGATTATTTTATCCTCCAAACGTTCAATTGATTATTGATACACTTACCTCCTTTGTTGCCCTGCCCTTTAATTTGTTTAATTTTACCCTTTTCCTTATCCCCCTGTTCCCCCTTCCAATTACTTTGGAACAGTCTGTTTGTTAAGATTTTCTTTAGCTGTTCCCTATTTCATGATTGGGGACAGTTTCGTTTTCGTTAAGATTGTTCCCCTTTTTTTTCTCTTCCACTTTTCACCATAGGTTTGTAGACGTTTTAGATGTACAAGCCACTTTTTGAACTTTTAGGTATACTATCACAGTCCATCTTTCAATAGTCATTAACCATAATCTGAAGATGTATGCCATGTCGTCATCGTGACGTCATCTTGTGTCACGTAACATCAATTTAAAGGCCCTATCATCATTTACAGTGTTATTTCTATATTACTGTTGGACCGATTCACGTCAAACTTGGTAGGTATATAGTGTTATGAAAATTGCTATGTCAAGGTCAAGTGACCCTTACTTCCGGTTTTACCGAAAGTATTACTTTGAGACCCTAATTATCACATCTCATGAATTAGAGTATGATGGGGTTGATACCTTGTAGTAGCACGCAGCAACATTTAAAGATAACTATAGAGCAGCATTATTACTGTGCGGTTGATTGTTCTCGTGTTATGAAGTCATGAATATTTAATGAGGCATCTGTGGTCACCATAACTCAACAATACGATAAGGCATGATTCCAGTTCTGCGCACATTTCATTATTTTGGACTGACGATGAACCTCCTGGTGTGTCAAGGTCATGTGACCCTTACCTCCGGTTTTACCGTAAGTGAAATGATTAAAGATTATCATTTAATTTGTAATAGTTATTTTTTTTTTTGGGGGGGGGGGGGGAAATCATTAAATCATTTTGTACTTTCCAATAGACAAGCAAAAACATTGTGGGAATTAGCACTGTGGTTGTTCAGTTCCGACCACAATCTCTGGTTTACTTATGTTTTGGCCTCTCAAGATGGCGTCCTAAGTACTTCAACCTGCTCTCTGGGCACTATATCTAGCTAGTTTAAACTTTTACTTACTCCGATGCCAGTCCACATTGGCACACCGACCGCCCCGTGAGGGAAAATTAACACAGAGTCTTTTCCCAAAAGAATGAAGGCAAGGCCAAAGAAGACGTCCACAGCGCCAGTAAAAACCAGCATCCCACTACGACTGGTAAGCTTTGCCATCCTCCTGTAAGCGAGAAATGAAGAATGTGACCTATCACATTAAGGGAATCCCATTTTATTTCTATGATTGTCATATTGTTTTACCTTTGAAGTAGAGTCGGTCAGTCATTAAAGATGGACTCCTGGGTTATCCACATTTTGTGACTTTTTCAGGTAATGTTTACCTCGTAGCCGGTAACCGAGCGGTTAGAGCGTGGAGCTACGGAGTGGAAGGTTGGCGGTTGGAATCCATTCGGACTAACAACTGGCAAACTCTCTCTGACGACCCAACAGTGAAAAAAGGTACCTGATCGTTCAGGGAAGGTAAGACGACGAGAGGAGAGAAGATGCCGCCACTCTTATACCGCGCCCTTTGAAACAGTGGACCTCGAACATCCTACTGCCCCTACGGCCAGTAATGGCTATGGGATACCTTTACCTTTACTGAGCATATCTAAGTTAACATAGAACAATTAATATTACTATAATAGGATTTCCTAGTTTGCATCTGACTGATGCCGTGTAGGTCTACTTATGGTAGGTAAGGTAGACCATTCAATTCAATTCACTCACATTTATTTCCATAAATAGAAATATAAGCAGAGAATAGATGAATAAGTAAATGAATAAATAAAATGGCATTGTCTAACACATGTAAGAGGCGATATTTAATACATAGGCATAGAGGAACACTGTAAACACGTTGGGCAAAATGGGTTGATATGTAGATCAACATATCAACAGGTTAAACTCTTGGACAAATTTGTCCCAATTGTTGGAAATGTTTTACCCAAATTGGGTAATTTCAAACCAAGGTTGGGTAAAATTATATTGTCCAACAGTGTTTTACCCATTATTTTTTTTTTTACAGTGCATCCTCTAGAAGCCTAGGCTTGTGGCGAGATGCCTTGGACGAACTAACACAAAACAAAAAGAGAACACACGGACAATTATAGACCAAGGCAGAACCTAGAAAAAAATGCTAAAAAACCAAAGCAAGCTATGTCAGATATTTGGAGATGAGAGCTCTAGGCATGTTTGAATCGACCCGGCCCCCCAGACGAGAGAGATTGTTTTGGGTGCAATACCTATATTCCCCAATAGCTATACTCCCCAACCCTAACATATAACCCTCTTACCCTTACCCTAAGGATTTTGGGGAACAAATGTATTGGGGAACATCGGGTAGACCCCGATTATTGAATAGGTTCGTCAAAGGCATTCCAGAGACGAGGCCCGCAGTAACAAAGTGTTTATAGTATGATGTGCGAGTACATGTACATACTTGTTACGTGATTGCGTGAGATGTGATTTGTTACGCGAACTGGTTGATCGATACCTATCAGTGCCACGAACTGAAGTAAAGAATGGAGAAAAGGAGGCGGGTAATTATACTCTTAGTAAATTTCTACATATGTACGCCCGTACTATGAAGCTTGTCAATTTCTGGAAGTGCTAAAGTATGGAACTGATGGGAAAGGGGTGCGGTGTGCTCCCGGGGATGCGAGGATATGCAAATCTTAGCTAATAGCTGTTTTTTTTGGTTTTTTTTGGAGCTAGGAGTTAATTATATGCAGGCCCTTTTTCGGTACAGCAAAAACTGGTGCCCTTACTGATATTTATTTACGTGTGAATTTAGTATGATCGTGTTGGGAAACCTTCCACCTTTTAGGCATTGCAGATGGCTGAGAATGCTGACCGTATGCAGCGTTGTAAGCTTTTCAGTTTTAGCCGCTATAGTAGTCGGAGAGAGCACACTTAAAATTTGATGCGTATATTACGTCGTCAGCTGCTGGTTCTTATTCGGAAAAATTACCCTCAACAGTTATTATAGGCTATAGCTGAATATTGCCCGTTCGCCACCTCGTAAGTTTATCGTTTACATTAAAACATATACATTGGAAGTAATCTCAAAATAAAACACACTTTCGTCACTACGGGACCACCCAAAGAAGGAAGGGGGGGGGGTTAAGAATTAAAAAAAAATCAACAATTCAGGGAACCTGTGTAATTTTTGATAACTGTTGTAGGAAGTCCTACTGTTCTGCCAGAGTTTTGCACAATAATAATGATTCTCTTCGAATTGCCAGAGTTTTGCATAATAATAATGATTCTCTTCGATGCAATATCCATAATTATTACTGCATGACAAGAAGCACCCGTCAACAAAATGGAGGAGGCTAGGCTGACGTCACACGTCATATCGAATAGAACTTTTGTTACAAATCCTTTTTGATAACAATTACATCAATCATGCGGCGTTGAATGCATGGGTCTCTAAGGTCGGGTTGGGAGAATATTAAAAACAGCCGCTACGAACCCGGATAGGGAGGGAGCAAGGTAAAGTACACCTATTGTCGCTCTGCAAACCACACCACCTACGTGGGGTGCTGTGGTCCAATGGTTACGGTGCTCGACTCGTGTGCCGTGGTACATGCGTTTGATCCAGACCGTGTGAACATGGTGCTTGTGCTCTTGAGCAAGGCACTTTACCATTATTGATTCGTCCTTCGGATGGGACGTTAAGCCGTAGGTCCCGTGTGTTGTGTAATGCGCGTTTAAAGAAATCAGCAACAGTAACCGTAAAAAGAAGGGGTTTGCCCCGATGTTTCTGGCAGTGGTTGCAATATGCGCTGCAGCACCTTGTTAACCCTTATAAGGTGCTACATAGTGGGTCTCGCATTTCTCATTAACTTCATTTACCCGTCTTGAATATAGACATAATTTCCAGCGCCTTGAGTATACCTAATTATTGGTAGATACGTGCGCTATGTAAGACTCCCGGTACACACACCACAATAAAACCCCACTGATCACAACTCTCTTCAAACATTACCGAAGCATACCCTCAACTCCACTACAGAGATCAATGAAGAGGAAATGTGGGCGTGTCCAGCATGACCGAGTTTGTCAACAATCACGCATACGTGGCGTGTTCTACCTCTAATTATTATTTTTTTTCCCCGGGCAACACCCGAAGGGGCACCTATTAATGTCCTCCGATTGAGTCACTGAGTAAAAGATAATGATGTCCTGAAACGAGAGTTTCCGGCTGTCCAGCTCGACTTAGAAAGCTTAGTCTACCAGTTATTGTCTCTGGGCAAAGGGGGCCATGCCCCCCCCCCCAAAAAAAAAAAAAAAAACGAAACCATTTTTTTTTATGTGACATCGCAATAAAGGCAGGCAATGAGTACACCACCATCTTTTCCTCAAAAAAAAACATTGGTTAAAGTGGTCAGAAATTGCCTCAGATCGCACCACAGAGCATCTAGAATCCAAATTTTTTTCGGGGCCCTTAAGCGGGCCTCTACGCCGTAATTTTTTTGACCCACTTTTTGGGGGACCACATTTTTTTTGCCCCCCCCCCCAAAAAAAAATATTGTGTTCTGGATCCGCCCTTGTCCCTGGGCTGGGGTTCAAAAGACACAGAACACATTCAACATGCGCCCTCTTTTAAACTTTCTGATTTAATCTGAATAAGCATGAAAACTACAGAAGTGTGCCCAGAAAGTGCAACATTCAGAAAAACAAATAATTTAAACTGTTTAATTGTTTTTGTTTCTTCGTTGAAATTATATGTATTACATTAAAGCCTGACTATTTCTCAATCCACTCCTTTTTACCCCGTTCCATTTGGGTCCCTAGACCCAGAAATACAATCGATTAAGCGAAAGGATTTGCACATTTTACTTGGACCACTCTCATAAACTTTCCAATTTTATCTGAATAACTGTGAAAACTACAGAGTGAGCCCAAAAAGTGCAACATTCAGAAAAGCCAATAAAAAGAACTGTTTAGTGTGCTTTTTTTTACTTCAATGGTTATGTTACATTGAAGCCTGACTATTTCTCAATCCACTTCTTTTGCCACATTTGGTTTCGGTCCCTAGATCCAGAAATACAGTAATTTTTTAAGTGAAAATGTGTAGGTTTTTAATGGGCCACTCTCACCTGTGATGTCACCAACCTCAATGCTTATTCAATGTTTAACCCAGACTCAGCACGTCCAGGTGAGAGTGGTCCAAGAAAAAAATTTACCCCTTTCACTTTATTGATTGTATATCTGGATCTAGGGACCCTAATGGAATGGGGGGAAAAGGAGTGGATTGAGAAATAGTCAGGCTTTAAAGCTACAGTTCATCATTTGCAGCTATCTAAAAAGTAACTGACGTAATTATTGTTGAAAAACATACTTGGTTGAAAGATAGTAAGGGGACTAAACTCCTTGTGAAATTAGTCTTTCTGGCAAGCTGTCATTTTGAAGAAATCAACAAAAGAAGGCCTTTCCAACGGTGTGTGTTAAGACGCACGGTTGGAAATTTCCGTTAGTGGTTAGGATTTTTTTTATTCGGCGAAGCGTGCGCAAGCGTTGGCACGACGCACACGCACGCGCGGTTGTTGTATTTCATCGGATCGGTGCGCGACATCGCGTAGCTGCAATAGGCTCAGTGATAACGTGTCTCGGACGCTGAATTGAGGCCCAACTCAAAACATGATTCAGCAACCTTTGATTTGAAATCGAGATCATAGAATTTTGCTTTCCTTGAAATATACAGCTGAAGCTGAGCTGAAACTTCATCAGGTTAGTTGTTCCGCGCCCTTCTTTAGATTTTGAGCACTTGTTGCTTCAATCAAACGAACAAAATGCACAAATTACAAATGATGGACTATATCATTTCATTGAAGAAAAAACACACACAATAGATCAGTATTAATGATTTGCTTTCTGAATGCTGCACTTTTTTTGGGCACACGTCCTAGTATACTAAAATCTTCGAGTACCTGAAATGACCCATGGTTTAGTACGCAGTTAATATTTCCCTGCAGTTGATACATGAATTCATGGTACACGGTTAGTCACCAATCGTTGTAAAGTTGGTAACTATTAGCATCATCTCGACAAATTGATACACAGATAACAAACATGATAAATAAATGATGAACTTACCTGTAAGTTGATGAGACGTCTATAACTGTTGGATTCTAATGAAGCAGCTCAGATGAGGATTATTCCCGCGAAATGATAATATCGTTCACAGCGCAGCAGTGCAACGTACGTGTAGCAATTGTAACCTCCTAAACATTAATGCGCAATAAAACCGCAAGTTTATTCAATACGGGTGGGTACGTAGCAAACTGCGCAAGAATGATCGAAAATAGCTGAACCATGAAAGTTCGAAGTAGTTGACAATCAACAGACGCGAGGGCAATATGTTGCACTATGGCGTGCAAATTAGACATTTTAAACTGTGGTCCAATGGTTACGGTGTTCGATTTGTGTGCCGTGGTACATGAGTTCGAACCCTGACAGTGGGAACATGGTGCTGGTGCTCTTGAGCAAGGCACTTTACCATTATTGCTTCGTCCTTCGGATGGGACGTAAAGCCGTAGGTCCCGTGTGTTGTGTAATGCACGTTAAAGAACCCAGTAACACTTATCGCTAAGAGAAGGGGTTTGCCCCGGTGTTTCTGGCAATGGCTGCAATGCGCGCCACAGCACCTTGACAACCCTTACAAGGTGCTACATAATTGGTCTCATATTTTTCATAACTTTATTCACCTTTCTTTAATAATAGACATAATTTCCAGCACCTTGAGTACCTAATTGTTGGTAGATACGTGCGCTATATTAGACTCCATTATTATTATTATTATTATCATTAAAATGGTGATATCTCCATTGGAAATATCAATATTTCGAACAGTGATATGATATTTCTATTAGAAACAAAGATATCTCGATTTATAATAGAATATCACTGTAATATCTAGGGTGAGTCAAAAAGTGAAACCCAAATGTCGGGACTATATTGTTTCGGTGAAGTTCGGCATTTAGCACTTTGAAAATCTAGGATATGAACGCCCAATTCATACGCTTTCTTTTAGTACAAGAATCATTCAAATCACTCATGTACTTTTAAAGTTACGGAATTTTAAACACAACCACAGTTTGAAAGTTCTAATGGAAACATCACTATTGAAAAAGTGCGCGCCATAGTCAATGTAGACTTGATTTTGTTCACTCAAGGCATACACGTGAAACTCTTACGCCCCGACTTTGTCATTATAGAGTAGATTATTTGAGGCTATCCAAAAAGTTACATACGAAATTATTGTTTAAAAGCTTATTGGTTTGGTTTAGAGATAGTAATGACAATAAACTCCCTGTAAAATTGATCTTTCTGGCATGCTGTCATCTTGAAGAAAACGACGGAAGAAGGCCATTTGCAAATATGCGTCCATTAAGTGACGCTTTTTTGGAAATGTCCGTATAATAGTTGGGTTGTAATTCGGCGAATCCGTAAATGGGTGCGCGTAAGCGTAGACGCGATGCACACGCGCGCGCGGTTGCTGTAATTTTGTCGGCTCAGTGCGTGACATTGCGTAGCTGCAATCGGCTGAATGAGAACGTGTCCCAACTGTTGATTTCGGGTGCACTTCAAAAAAAGACACGGCAACAATGGAATTGACATCGAGATCTTAGAATATTTGTTTTCTCGGAATAGGCCTATACAACATTCACAGAGCTAAAACTGCATCGGGTCAGATGTGTAGATTTTGAGCAATTTTGTTGCTTCAAACGAAAAAACAATGCACAAAATGACAAATGATCTACGCTACCTTTAAGTTAGGACCGTCCAACCTAAAGCGTTCTAATTCGAAATCACATGTCGCGACAGTCGCAGCTTAACTTGGAACCATGGTCTTAATTGCTTGGGCATAACATTAACATTCCATCATTTGGGATTGCTGTGAATATTCGTAATTTAGGGACCATGTGATTTAAGACTGCATATCACTCTGAGTTTAGACGAAAGTATTTTGGAAAGACTCACTTCAGGGGAAACTCGTCTAAATGAATTCCACTTTTAATTGTATTTTTCCTTGTTTCAGTCGGTTGGGGGAATGCTCACTCGAATAGAGCGAATGTTCCTATCGGTGAAGGGTAAATCCCTTCTCTAAGTTTTGCCCCATGTCTATGTGGGGGAGTGTGGTCATGTGGTTAGGGTTTGTGACTCATCATCTGAGGGTCATCATCTGAGGGTCAGGGGTTCGAATCCTGCTGCTGGCCATGTGTTGCGTCCTTGGGCAAGCCACTTTACCTCCACTTCATCTCTCCACCCAGGAGTGCAAAATGGGTACCGGCAGTAGCTGGGGAGCGGAGTAACCTGGCATGGACAGGCATCCCATCCAGGGCAGACAGTGCAGTGGTTTCATGCCACGGAAACCGGGATAAATACCGGCCTGGTTATGGGCTTCGAACAGAAATCACTCTCATGTCTATGACCTTTGATCCTTCCCCTTTCTGGTCCCTCCCCTGTTTACACAAGACCCCTTGTTAATGTATGTACCTCTGTCATTTCTGTTTTAGCCTCTGAAGAAGAACTTGCTAAGTTCGCAACGTCAGGCCACATTAATTTTAAGATTCATGTCTATGATATTAAAACAAACTGTATCGGTCCTCTTGAATATTTTGCCAAACATGCGGCTGTCATCATGTTGAGTTCAATAACAGAAATAATGAAGATGATATTCTAATCTGGTGTACGGGTTTTGCAGTCCATGGTACCTTTCCATGGACTGCAAAATTATAGGCAGACGTCACGTGCTTTGCGTTTCGCTTGCCTTGTTTTCGCGTGCGTGTAGACTGCAGTCACACATGATTCAGCTTGTGGTTTCATCTACATGAGCCTTCACGATTCAATGCAACGTGACGGCTGAACTTTGGTATATTGTAAGGTGGTAAACAAGTGGGAAGATGTATCATTACAGCAAATTCTGACATGTTAATAAATCAAACTATCACGCAAAATAAAGCAAACTTCTCAATATCTGTTCCCACCATCCCCTATCCTTTTGAGCTAGGTTATATACCAACTTTTGAGTTGGCAAACTTCCAAACTTCAAACTGTTGGCCAATGACTACCGAACCCTCCAATTTTGCCATCGTGAAGACAATTATTAAGCGATGACTGAAACGTTGATTCAGACAAACAAATGTTGTTTCGTAAAAGGGCCATGATATTAAACTACTAAAAGAGAAATAGTTTCTTGTCTCATTCCCTGGAAAGATTACCAAGAAGGTAAGACAGACTCAGTTTTCGTGGATTTTCTTTTCTTGAAAAAGTCGCCTATTTTAAAGAAACCCATCTCTGGCAGTGTATTACATCCAGTAGGCCTATTAAATATTATTTCATTTTTTTTCCTAAATACTTTTTAAAAATATGCACGGTCTGTGACTTTCATTTCGTTTCAGAATTATAGAGTAGAGATTTACCAGTTGGGTTTAATGGCGAGGCTTGTACATACAATAGCCACGCACTCAGACACACAGAAAAACAGTGTTTGTTGACTGAACAATAATTTCTAAAGCTCAAGCCCAAAGGCATTGCTATGCTATGAGTCAAGGCCTGGTGGGACAACAATGAACCTTTTCTTCTGCTAAGAGCCTGTATAGAAAATCATTGAAACGTGTCAAACAACAACTTCCATAGTGGAAAGGCAATGGTACCGTCAGGATTTGCTTTGAAGCCGCCATTTTGAAAGCCTGCCATACTATATATATTGATATCATGGGTGCGACCAGAAATAAATAGGCCCAACACTGCCTTTTATTATTATTTTTCAGGGTTTCCTTGCACTTGAGGGTTGGTGATGAAGGACCCCAGCTCTGAACCTGTCTTTGAACTTGTATTTATGTGAAATTTAGGATGAAATTACACCCCAGTCGCTGTATTCTGCGATGGATTGGAGGGTTCATTTTTTTGTCAAAATGGAGATGGGCTTATTAGGGGTGACATTCTTTGTAGGGAAACCTTACCCAATTTAAGTCATTGGTAACAAAAATGAAAAGAAAAGTAAAAGAGAGTAAACAAGCTATCATTTGATGCATGTGTTTCGATCAGCAGTGAGAGTAATGAGCATTTTCGATCTATTTTGAGGTGGAGGCATTTCTCATTGGTGCCTATATTTACTATATTAGCTTCCCTCCCCCCCCCCCAAACAAAAAAGTCCACCCCCTAAATAAACATTTAAAAAAATGGCAGCAGCAAAAAATATTAGGTGAAGTCACCAACGAACGGTCTCCCCTTACAAATAGTAGTGAGAAGGGGGCATGTTGTGTCAATTATTGGATGTTGTCGGCGCTCCACATTGAAATATGGTACGATCCCCCCCCTACTTTTTAGCATGCCTCCCTACAATAATGTCTGGCTCCACCTCTGCTAGCCCCTCCCCCTAAAATATAGGCTCTTTTGAACCGCGCATGCGTTCTTTGAGAGTTTGGATTTACTTGTTAATTATAGGTCATGCACTTCCAGAAAACATGTCTGCCAGGGAAGGGAAAAACTTTACTCTTTTTTAACTATTTGCAATTTGGTTGGTGGACTGGGATGTATGTCCGATTTTCACAGTTGTCCCACACACTGTACTCTGCATCTACACTCCTGGGCTAGATAGAGGGCGCTATCAAGCATGTCCTCTGCCAGAAGACTAGATCTGTGCTTAAAAAAAAAAAAAATGACGTATTCTGTAGCACAATATGCATATACGCCCCACACTAGCACTGCACGAGGAATGAGTAGGCCTACAAACCTATAGACTTCAGGGCAGTGACCCAATATCTACTAACACGGCGCTTCGTATCTAGTTTGGGGTAGAGGATGCACAAACCTTTCTCGCATGTTCCATATGATACTGCGCGCGTATTTTTTTCCTAGGAGGGTTGGGGCCAAGTCATGCATAATTCAGTTTTCCTTTGAACCATTGCAAGACACTGATAAGTTCTTGTTCTCTTTTTTCCCTTAAATAAAAAAAAAAATCCCCATGATAAATTTGGAGAAGAGAAATAGTCGAAGAAAATAAAGCAGCGACAACATTGAATCGAACTAGGACTCAATTTGTATCCATAGCCCATCTCGCTATCCACTAGGCTACTGTGTGGCAGCTCGACGAGAGCCGTTCTTCAAAATGCTTTTTTGATGTAACTGGTTGACTAAATAACAACAATGCTCTTGATAATCATTGTTTCATGAATAATGTACTGAAAAGGCCCTCTTCAAAATGAATCAAAAGAGGATGTACAACTATTGGGGTAAATTGTGTTGATGTACAATGTACAAGTACATTGTACACGTACAAGCAAATCGCTAATGCAGTACTTCTTCATATTCCAAATGCTACAACGCAAACTAATATTTCAACACAACAAACATAACATATTAACCTGTCACACCAAACCAAATTTAATATAAAAGTAATACATTTGCGTATCATAAAAAAATGAATGAATAAATACATGTATTTAGAGTTGCTGGAT